CGCCTGCCAGGTGCGGGACACTCCACCCCCCACTCCCCCCACCCACCCTCTCCTCCTCCTCCCTAATCCTCCCCCTTCTCCCTCCTGCTCCCCCATCCTCCTCCCTCCCCCCTCCCTCCCCCCTTCCTCCCCCCTCCCCCTCCCTCCTCCCCCTCCCTCCTCCCTCCTTCCCTTCCCTCCCTCCTCCTCCCCCATCCTCCCCCTACCTCCTCCTCCCTCCCTCCTCCTCCCCCCTTCTCCCTCCTCCCCCCTCATCCTATCCATCCCCCATCCTCCCTCCTCCCCCTCCCTCCTCTTCCTCCTCCTCCTCCCTCCCTCCTCCTCCCCCCTTCTCCCTGCTCCCCCCTCATCCTATCCATCCCCCATCCTCCCTCCGATAAATAACTATTCTCACCCTGGGTGGCGCGCTAGAGATGATCATTCAATAATATTTTGACCGCCGCTGTAAATGTTCAAGCGATAGCATTCCAGGCCCCCGTGGGCATCATCAACATCAAAGGCCTTTCCTCCAGTGTTTGTGCGGCAATCGGGAACGTGAAGCTGGTGAACGAGCGAAGACCTTAGGTCACGTTTGTTCTTCGAAACAGCGAGGAGATCCAGCGCGTAGTCTGCTGATTTTGTTTGTAAGTACTTCGTGAATAAATAAGATCTGGCGCACAAGCCGTCGAACATTCAGAGATGTTAAGTTTGACCCAATGTAGAAATCGTAGTGGTGGGTCCTATATGGGCGGTTCAATGCAAATCTTAGGGCCGAGTGATCAATTGGGTCAGGCCTCTTCAGTACAGTACTGGGGGCTGATTTGTATGCGATGTCACAGTAATCAAGTAGAGGCAGTATATTCTTAGGTTTTTTTCGGTAAAGTCACGTAGGTAAAAAATAAAAATTAATGAAAGTAAAATATTTAATTGGAAAGATGTTATTAACCATGCAAAAAAGATTTAACTACACATATTTGGAGCATTCCTGGCAGCGATTTCAGCCGCACCACCTCTACATAACAAAAGGCTCAGTCAACCATTCTACACAACAAAGACTCATTTCCTGGCAGCGATTTCAGCCGCATCACCTCTACATAACAAAAGGCTCAGTCAACCATTCTACACAACAAAGACTCATTTCCTGGCAGCGATTTCAGCCGCATCACCTCTACATAACAAAAGGCTCAGTAAACTATTCTACACAACAAAGACTCATTTCCTGGCAGCGATTTCAGCCGCACCACCTCTACATAACAAAAGGCTCAGTCAACCATTCTACACAACAAAGACTCATTTCCTGGCAGCGATTTCAGCCGCACCACCTCTACATAACAAAAGGATCAGTCAACCATTCTACACAACAAAGACTCATTTCCTGGCAGCGATTTCAGCCGCACCACCTCTACATAACAAAAAGGCTCAGTCCCTTTTACACGCACCTTTACATCAGCCGCACCTAGTTTACACAACAAAGGCTCATTCCTAACAGCGTGCTTCAGCCGCACCGAACCTCACAGAAATAATATCCAGGGCCTACCTTGGCTCCTCCCACCCTCAACCAGTATATAGATGTAATAAGAGGCTATATCCGGCTCACTGACGTATCACAACTCGTCATGGTGATTGGCTCTGCTGGTCCTGGTCTACAGCCAATGGGGGGAAGCCTGGGGGCATGGCCCTGACGTGATGGAAGGGTGACAGCTGTGGGGATTGGTTCTGCTGGCTTTGGCCTCAGCCAATGGGGAGATGAGTCAGGCGCGTGGTCCCGGGAGCTGACGAGGGAGCCTGGAAGATTCGATGCAGGCTAACGAGGATTGGCTGAATCGTACCACGTGACCCGGGTATTAAATAGAGGTGGAGACGAACGACACGTGGTCAGAACAGGAACGAACGGAGGAAGGGGTCACGCGGGAGCGGGGCTCCGAGTTGCCGCGTGGCCGTGCGTCTCTCTCGGTCTATCTGTCCACTTCACGTTGTCTATCAGCAGCGGGGAGTAATTGTACCCTAAGTGAATAAAAGGACGGATTCCAGAAGTCGTCTCCAAGACTGTTATTATATATACAAGGACTGTTTTCTTGGAATTTCTCTCACTTGATACAGCAGTCGTGCTGTGACGGTTCCACCTGAAGACGGAAGCTTGTGTTGCCTCCGAAACGTCGTGATTTTTATTTTATTTTTATTTTACTTTTATTATTTTTAATGTTTTACCTACGTGACTTTACCGAAAAAACCTAAGAATATGAATCCTTGCAGTCACGAAAGCTTCAAATCTAGAGACAGTATGGTAGCTTGATCAATTCTCCCTCCCCCCTCTTTCTCCGTTTGTAGGGTGACAGTGGGGGGCCCCTGGTGTGCTTGGAGGGGGAGGGGGGCACTGCCTTCCGTCTCGTGGGGGCCACCAGCTGGGGGGAGGGGTGCGCGCGGAAGAACCAACCCGGGGTCTACTCGCGCGTCTCCTCCATGACGGAGTGGGTCTACTCCACCATGGACGTGAGTCGCTCGCCCACTCGACGGCACACTCGCTCGCTCGTTCGCTCGCCCACTCGCTCGCTCACTCGGTCACCCGCTCGCTCACTCGCTCGCTCACTCGTTCACTCGGTCACCCGCTCGCTCACCCGCTCGCTCACTCGCCCGCTCGCTCGCTCACTCGGTCACCCGTTCGCTCACTCGCCCACTCGCTCGCTCACTCGCTCGCTCGCTCACCCACTCGCTCACTCACTCGGTCACCCGCTCGCTCGCTCACTCGGTCACTCGCTCGCTCGCTCACTCACTTGCTCACTCACTCGGTCACTCGTTCGCTCACTCGGTCACTCGCTCGCTCACTCACTCACTCGCTCACTCAGTCACTCGCTCGCTCACTCGGTCACCCGCTCGCTCGCTCACTCGGTCACTCGCTCGCTCACTCACTTTCTCACTCACTCGGTCACTCGCTCACTCACTCGCACACTCGCTCGCTCGCTCACTCACTCGCTCACTCAGTCACTCGCTCGCTCGCTCACTTGCTCGCTCGCTCGGTCACTCGGTCACTCGCTCACCTACTTGCTCGCTCACTCGCTCGCTCACTCGGTCACTCGCTCGCTCACTCGCTCACTTACTCGGTCACCCGCTCGCTCGCTCAGTCACCCGCTCGCTCATTCAGCACCGTGGACGTGAGTCGCCCACCGCTCACCACCCGCTCACCCACCCTTGTTGTCTGTGTGCGTGTATAGGCATGAGACCCCCACTCCACTCTGCTCGTTTCTCACCTACCCACTCACCTACCCACTCACCTACCCACTCACCTACCCACTCACCTACTCACTCACCTACTCACCCACCCACTCACCTACCCACTCACCTACCCACTCACCTACCCACTCACCTACTCACCCACCTACTCACCCACCCACTCACCTACCCACTCACCTACTCACCCACCCTTGTTGTCTGTGTGCGTGTGTGGGCATGAGACCCCCAGGTCTTCTCTGCCTGTAACATCCACTCTGCTCCTTACTCACCTACCCACTCACCTACCCACTCACCTACCCACTCACCTACTCATCTACCCACTCACCTACCCACTCACATACCTACTGACCTACCCACTCACCTACCCACTCACCTACTCACCTACCCAGTCACCTACCCAGTCACCTACCCACTCACATACCCACTCACCTACCCACTCACCTACCCACTCACCTACCCACTCACCTACTCACCCACCTACTCACCCACCCACTCACCTACCCACTCACCTACCCACTCACCTACCCACTCACCCTTGTTGTCTGTGTGCGTGTGTAGGCATGAGACCCCCGTGTCTTCTCTGCCTGCAACATCCACTCTGCTCCGGGGATCACTCCAAGTGGACCTCAGTTCTCGGGCGGGGAAGGGGGGAGTGAGTGAGTGGGTGAGTGAGTGAGTCCGTGAGTGAGTTGGTTGGTGAGTGAGTCGGTGAGTGAGTGGGTCGGTGAGTGAGTGAGTCCGTGAGTGAGTGAGTGAGTGGGTCGGTGAGTGAGTGAGTCGGTGAGTGAGTGAGTCGGTGAGTGAGTGAGTCGGTGAGTGAGTGAGTCGGTGAGTGAGTGAGTGAGTCGGTGAGTGAGTGAGTCCGTGAGTGAGTTTGTTGGTGAGTGAGTCGGTGAGTGAGTGAGTGAGTCGGTGAGTGAGTGAGTCGGTGAGTGAGTGAGTCGGTGAGTGAGTCGGTGAGTGAGTGAGTCGGTGAGTGAGTCGGTGAGTGAGTCGGTGAGTGAGTGAGTCGGTGAGTGAGTGAGTCGGTGAGCGAGTGAGTGAGTCGGTGAGTGAGTGAGTCGGTGAGTGAGTGAGTCGGTGAGTGAGTCCTGAGTGAGTGAGTCCGTGAGTGAGTGAGTGAGTCCGTGAGTGAGTGAGTCGGTGAGTAAGTGAGTGCGTCGGTGAGTGAGTGAGTCAATGAGTGAGTGAGTCCGTGAGTAAGTGGGTCCCACTATACACTACACTTTACACTCCACTACTATACACTACACTATACACTACACACTACACTATACTCTACACTATACACTGGCGATGCTGCCCCCCCCCGCCGCCTCGTGTGTGCCGTGCCGGCCCGAATGCTATACGGGGCACCTTTGTCTGTGTGAGCCTTCATTAAACACATTGTCCTGCGGAGGGAGCTGGTAGGAACGTCGGGTTGCTCGGTCAATGGCCTGCAGGGTCAACGGCGGCGTGGTGTATTCCGCAAATATGGCCGACTGTGAGGGCGGGCACAAGCCGGCGTGAGTAGGTGAAACGTTGAGTTTTATAAGGGCACCACGGGGTGACCAGCCCCTCCCCACCCAGCCCCTCCCCTCCCAACCCCCACCCAGCCCCCCCCTCCCCACCCAGACCCTCCCAACCCTCCCCACCCTCCCCACCCTCCCCACCCAAGCTCTCCCAACCCTCCCCACCCTCCCCTCCCCACCCTCCCCACCCAGCCCCTCCCCACCCAGCCCTACCCCTCCCACCCTCTCACTCAGCCCCACCCTCCCCACCCAGCCCCTCCCCACCCTATTTTATTATTTCCCTTCTACGTGACTTTACCGAAAGAACCAAGAAGATGAATCCCTGCAGTCACGAAAGAAGCTTTAAATCGAATGAGTGATTTTGTTTATTTAATACGCTCCGCGTGATTCACGAGTTTTTGTTAGTGCCAATTTTGCGACACGTGACGCGTCTGGCACGCACGGGCACACAAAGGCAAAGATCCCCCGTGTAGCCTGTAACAGACTGTGGGGGCAAGTGCTGTTAGCGAGTAGCAGCACCTATGAAGGCCGGCACGGCACAAGAGGGGGTGGGTGGCCAACATTTAAGGTTGAGTCGACCTAGGGGAGGCCCAGGACCGGTTCAGATCATCGTCGCCGGTGTTGGCGGCCGTGAGCGGGAATCGAACTCGGTGTCGCCGGGTTCGTAGCGCAGCGTGGCGCTAACCGCTGCGCCACCGCTCCCCACACACACATTCGGTGACATACACACACACACATACAGACACACGCACGCACACACTTTTAACACAATGTTGCACGGATGTACTTTGAAAGCACAGGCTTATGCCACGATTAATGAACTATATTTATACCTTTGTTATATGTTCGGAGTAATGTACAACCTTTGGTGTCCATAGCACGCGTCACAAGCAAAACAAACACACGAATCACATGTTTCGACATCGTCAAAATGCGTGCACGTTCAACATCTCTCGCACCACCGTGCGTGTAGCACGAGCCGTGCTGATCGGGGTGGGGGCGAGGGTGAAGGAAGACATTCCTGCGGAGGGAGGCTATGATTGAGAGAGAGACACACTCCAAATGTACAGCAGCAGGCGTCAGGGTCGGGATCGAACCCACGACATCCTGTATACCAGGCGAGGTAGTTAACATCTCCTAGCCACCGTCATGATGATGAGAGAGAGAGACACGCAAACTCCAAATATACAGCAGCAGGCGTCAGGGTCGGGATCGAACCCACGACCTCCTGTCGACCAGGCGAGGTAGTTAACATCTCCTAGCCACCGTGATGATGATGATGAGAGACACGCAAACTCCAAATACACAGCAGCAGGCGTCAGGGCCGGGATCGAACCCCCGACCTCCTGCATACCAGGTGAGGTAGTTAACATCTCGTAGCCACAGTCCACTGCTCTCGCAAGATAGACCACATTCTCCCACATTATGCAATGGTGCCAGTAACACTTTTTTTTTAAATCTTAATATAATTTGTCTTCTCTCGATATATGACGTGAGGTTATTATTCGGGCTGTAAATCGTTTGTGTGTAATTATTGAATGGGGGGGGGGGCGGGGGGGGGTTTGTCTGTTACACGTTAGCTACTAATGGTGTGTGACTTTCACGGTGTACATGTGCCAATTTATAACAACAACAACAAACTGCGCGAACGGGGAAAACCAGTTTGAAAATGTGATTCTAATCGTCCCCCTCCTACACCCCCCTCCCCCATGATGGTGGTGGTATAAGAAAACGAGGGTCATTGCTCGAAACGTCGTCCTATTATCTATATGTTCCGTTTGAAAGCCGGGGTGTTATTGACGACCGTGTTGGGTGTTGTATCATTGTGATATAGAAACGTAAATAAAATACAAATGAGATCGGTTGTACCGATGGGTCTGGTGGAGTCCGTTGTGATTATCTAATCGATATCACTGGAATTGAAACATTTGTCGAGATGATAGCAGCGTTATCGCTTTGGGACCAACGGCCGGGGTCAGGGAAAGGTCAGAGCGGATCGAAATCACAGATTCCCGCCAGACGAGGTGAAAGAAGATCAAAACGACAGATTGGTAAGGACCAATCAGAGGGTTCCACGAGGGAGCGTGGGATTGGACAAAGCCAGTCACAAGCCGGTATAAACGGGCGAGCGCTGAGAGCGCGAGGTAGTTCTCTCCCACATGAACACTGTTCAAGTTCAAGTTCATTTATTAGGTGTAGCCCTGTGAGCCATTCGGCTCTTGAATAGGGTGCAACCGCAACAAACAAAAACATGAACAAAAAACATCTTAAAGTGAATATGTGACTAAGTGCAAACAGAAATCTAAGAAAAGACAGCAAAACATTGCACCCCGGGCTGAAGGTAGATAGGACCCTGGACCAAGCTTCCCAGCCCTTCTGAGGGCTGAGGTTCAGTGTGACCAGTGGCCAGGGGAGAATAGGTCCTGGGTAGGCAGGACCCTGGACCAAGCCTCCCAGCCCTTCTGAGGGCTGAGGCTCAGGGGTACCAGTGGTCACGGGAGAACAGAGGTCGCAACCTGGTACCCGATACCCGTACCCTACCCGATACCCGGCTACCCGTACCCGGCCGGGTACGGGTACCCGTTTGCGACCCTGGTGCGGCCGGGCACGGGTACGGGTAGGCCGTGAGTCACCGGTGAGTAACCGTTTGTCACTCATTTCGGGTACGGTACGGGTAGGGAACAGGTTCCCGTACCCAGCCGGGTACGGGTACGGGTACGGGTACCCATTTGCGACCCTGGTGCGGCCGGGTACGGGTAAGGAATCAAAACCCGTTTGCGACCTCTGGGGGAGAATAGGTCCTGGATAGGCAGGACCCTGGGTCCCAGCCTTCCAGCCCTTCTAAGGCCTGAGGCTCAGCGTGACCAGAGGTCGGGGACCCACCGAGCCAGCGGTGTTCAAGCTAGCCTCACCTAGGTCCCAGCCGGAGGACGCTAGGTTAGCGGGTAGACTTGTGTGTAGCTCCCGCCAAGTCTGGGGGCTGTACCTCCTTAGGTTAGTGGGTAGACTCGGGTGTAGCTCCCGGCAAGTCTGGAGGCTGTACCTCCTTAGGTTAGCGGGTAGACTCGTGCGTAGCTCCCGTCAAGTCAGGAGGCTGTACCTCCTTAGGTTAGTGGGTAGACTCGTGCGTAGCTCCCGTCAAGTCAGGAGGCTGTACCTCCTTAGGTTAGTGGGTAGACTCGTGTGTCGCTCCCGCCAAGGCTGGAGGCTGTACCTCCTTAGGTTAGTGGGTAGACTCGGGTGTAGCTCCCACCAAGGCTGGGGGCTGTACCTCCTTAGGTTAGCGGGTAGACTCGTGCGTAGCTCCCGCCAAGTCTGGGGGCTGTACCTCCTTAGGTTAGTGGGTAGACTCGTGCGTAGCTCCCGCCAAGTCTGGGGGCTGTACCTCCTTAGGTTAGTGGGTAGACTCGGGTGTAGCTCCCGCCAAGGCTGGAGGCTGTACCTCCTTAGGTTAGTGGGTAGACTCGGACTCGGGTGTAGCTCCCACCAAGGCTGGGGGCTGTACCTCCTTAGGTTAGTGGGTAGACTCGTGTGTAGCTCCCATCAAGTCAGGAGGCTGTACCTCCTTAGGTTAGTGGGTAGACTCGGACTCGGGTGTAGCTCCCACCAAGGCTGGGGGCTGTACCTCCTTAGGTTAGTGGGTAGACTCGGACTCGGGTGTAGCTCCCACCAAGGCTGGGGGCTGTACCTCCTTAGGTTAGTGGGTAGACTCGGGTGTAGCTCCCATAAAGTCTGGGGGCTGCACCTCCTTAGGTTAGCGGGTAGACTCGTGTGTAGCTCCCGCCAAGGGTGGAGGCTGTACCTCCTTAGGTGAGCGGGTTAGACTTGTGTGTAGCTCCCGCCAAGTCTGGAGGCAGAAAAGCTGTAATCTGTGGAAAGTAAGTCATTGAAACGTTTCAAAACTCTCCCTCGACTCAGCCAACGGACTTCTGTGTGGTACAGAACATGTTCATAGTCAACATTTATCTCAGACAGAAATTCCTGAAATTGTCTGTGGTTTAGTGCATGAGCTCTAATGAAGTTAACACAAGATACCACAATTTTCATAACAGAGTCCCACTTCAGTGATTTACTACACAGCGCTTGTTGGTGGATGAGGCAGTGTATGGCTATTGGATGAGAATGGTTATGTTTGTCCATCTCTTGGTTAATGCGAGCAATTACTCCTTTCTTAGACCCCACCATGCTTGGAGCACCATCAGTTGTCACACTGGCTAGTTTAGCCCAGTTCAGCTCCAAACCATTCACAGTTTGGCAAACCTTTTCATAGATATCCTCTCCTGTAGTTGTTCCTTTGATGCTTTGCAGTGCAGCAAGCTCTTCTGTGACTTCGAAATAGTCATTCGTCCCACGAATAAAAATTTGAAGTTGTGCAGAATCACGAACATCATTGCTTTCGTCGAGTGCCAAGGAAAAATAGGAAAGTTTTTTTGTGGAGTTTTGCAAATGCTGATGCAAATTGTCTCCCATTTCTTCAATCCTCCATGTAATTGTAGGTCCTGAAAGACTCAGTGTACTAAATAAATCGGCCTTCTCTGGACACATCTCTTTGGCAACAGAAAGAAGGCATTCTTTAACAAATTCTCCCTCCACGAATGGTCTGCCAGTGCACGCTATTAGCTTGGCAACTTGAAAACTTGCTCGCAGTGATGAAATATTTAGCTGCTTCTGCTTCACAAAAGTATTTTGCTGAGTTGTTAATGTATTTTTCAGTTTTATCTTTTCTCACTTCTCCGACCAAACAATCATATTTATCTTTATCTTCTTGGTTCTTTCGGTAAAGTCACGTAGAAGGGAAGTAATAAAATAATAAAAATAAAACAAAAATAAAATAATTCTCACGACGTTTCGGCTACAACGCAAGCAGCCGTCTTCACGTTGTAGCCGTTGTAGCCGAAACGTCGTGAGAATTATTTTATTTTTATTATTTTATTACTTCCCTTCTACGTGACTTTACCGAAAGAACCAAGAAGATGAATCCCTGCAGTCACGAAAGCTTTAAATCGAAATTTATCTTTATGTTGAGTTTCATAGTGTCGACGTAAATTGTATTATTTTAACACAGACACTAGATTCTGGCATATCAGACACACAGCTCTTTCCTTGTACTGCATGAAAAAGTAATCATAAATTCACTGTTCTTTGAATATCCTACACTCCGAGTCAATTTTTCTCTTTCTTGACATCATTGTTTCCTAGGGAGTCAAAATTGCTATTAGTAAAATACCAATATATATACAGCGCTACAAAAACAATATACCAGCATGGATTTGAAGCTTTCGTGACTGCAAGGATTCATATTCTTAGGTTTTTTCGGTAAAGTCACGTAGGTAAAAAAATTAATAAAAGTAAAATAAAATAAAAATCACGACGTTTCGGAGGGCAACACAAGCTTCCGTCTTCAGGTGGAACCGTCACAGCCACGACAGCCGTATCAAGCAAATGAGAGATCACAAGAGCCACCACTCCGTTTATATAATGATTCAAGGGGGGGGGGAAGGGCCAAGTATGGCACACCCTTTATTAATATGGTAAAAAAGTTAATTAAAAAGTAACAGACAGGCAGCGGCGGTAAAAACACCCGGCGGGCCGGATAAATGTCCTCGGCGGGCCGCATGTGGCCCGCGGGCCGCAGTTTGAGGACCTCTGTTCTACGCATTCAACCCCGATTCGTCGAACAAGCGGGGAGAGGAATCGATTCCCCCGATTGTGTGTCCAATCGATTCGAGGAATCGATCCGAGCGAGGTCAGTTTCGTTTCCCGTCATAGCTTGCTTGGACCATCTTCTTGGTTCTTTCGGTAAAGTCCGTCACGTAGAAGGGAAGTAATAAAGTAATACAAATAAAACATAGTAAAAATAATTCTCACGATATTTCGGCCACAACTTAATTAGCTAAGCTAACGGCGTGTTAATTAGCTAAGCTAACGGCGTGTTAATTAGCTAAGCTACTGGGATCAATTAAAGCCGCTGTCTCTGCCGCTAATTGAGAGGTCGGGCCGAGAAGCTTTAGGCGCTAAAATAGGCCTCAACCGCGAGCCTTCGCTAACGATTTGTTGAGGTAATTGTTGTTGTTGTTGAGGTGATTGTTGTTGTTGTTGAGGTGATTGTTGTTGTTGTTGAGGTAATTGTTGAGGTGATTGTTGTTGTTGAGGTAATTGTTGTTGTTGTTGAGGTAATTGTTGTTGTTGTTGTTGAGGTAATTGTTGTTGTTGTTGAGGTAATTGTTGTTGTTGTTGAGGTGATTGTTGTTGTTGTTGAGGTGATTGTTGTCGTTGTTGAGGTAATTGTTGAGGTGATTGTTGTTGTTGAGGTAATTGTTGTGGTTGTTGAGGTAATAGTTGTGGTGGTTGTTGAGGTAATTGTTGTTGTGGTTGTTGAGGTAATTGTTGTTGTTGTTGAGGTGATTGTTGTTGTTGTTGAGGTGATTGTTGTTGTTGTTGAGGTAATTGTTGTGGTGATTGTTGTTGTTGAGGTAATGGTTGTTGTTGTTGAGGTAATTGTTGTGGTTGTTGTTGAGGTAATTGTTGTGGTGGTTGTTGAGGTAATTGTTGTTGTGGTTGTTGAGGTGATTGTTGTTGTTGAGGTAATTGTTGTTGTTGTTGAGGTAATTGTTGTTGTTGAGGTAATTGTTGTTGTTGAGATAATTGTTGTTGTTGAGATAATTGTTGTTGTTGAGGTAATTGTTGTTAAGGTAATTGTTGAGGTAATTGTTGTTGTTGAGATAATTGTTGTTGTTGAGGTAATTGTTGTTAAGGTAATTGTTGAGGTAATTATTGTTGTGGAGGTAATTGTTGTTTTTGAGGTAATTGTTGTTGTTGTTGAGGTAATTGTTGTTGTTGAGGTAATTGTTCTTGTTGAGGTAATTGTTGTTGAGGTAATTGTTAAGGTTATTGTTGTTGAGGTCATTGTTAAGGTAATTGTTAAGGAAATTGTTGTTGTTGAGGTAATTGTTGTGGTTGAGGAAATTGTTGTTCTTGTTGAGGTAATTGTTGAGGTGATTGTTGTTGCTGAGGTAATAATTGTTGTTGAGGAAATTGTTGTTATTGTTGAGGTAATTGTTGTTCTTGTTGAGGTAATTGTTCTTGTTGAGGTAATTGTTGTTGCTGAGGTAATTGTTGAGGTGATTGTTGTGTTAATTGTTGAGATTTGTTGAGGTAATAGTTGTTATTGTTGAATTGTTGAGTTAATTGTCGTTGAGTTGTTGAGGTAGTTGAGTTATCTTCTTGGTTCTTTCGGTAAAGTCATCACGTAGAAGGGAAGTAATAAAATAATAAAAATAAAACATAATAAAATAATTCTCACGACGTTTCGGCCACAACGCAAGCAGCCGTCCTCAGGTGAAGAACGAAACGTCGTGAGAATTATTTTATTATGTTTTATTTTTATTATTTTATTACTTCCCTTCTACGTGACTTTACCGAAAGAACCAAGAAGATGAATCCCTGCAGTCACGAAAGAAGCTTTAAATCGAGTAGTTGAGTTAATTGTTGTTGAATTCATTATTGATGTAATTGTTGTTGTTGAGGTATTCGTCGTTGAGTTAATTGTTGAGTTAGTTGTTGTTGAGGCAATTGTTGTTGGGTCAATTGTTGCTGAACTAATTGTGGCTTTGCATCGTCCCGGGTCACCGATTCACCGAGGAGGCGGCGGCGGCGATGGCGGCGATGGAGGTGGCGATTGAGATGATGACCTCTGACATGAAGAATTACTTTGGCTACAGGACCAATGTGGCGACCGCCCACGTCTCCATCCGCATGGGTGAGTGGCCACAAAGGGCTCATCACACTGGCCGTGTCGGGAGGTTCATACTGGCCGTATCAGTGGGCTCATCATACCAGCCGTGTCAGTGGATTTTTACTGATTGGCCGTGTCGGGTGGTGGAGGGTTGCGACACATTTATAAATAACGAGATCTAAACCCCGAAAAACGTTGATTATGAATAATATTGGTCGCGAAAGCCTGCTACGTGTTAAATTGGGTTCATACTGGCCGTATCAGTGGGCTCATCACACCGGCTGTGTCTCGCAGTCAGTGGGTTCATAATGATCCGTGCCAGAGATCAGGTTCCAGGCGTTGGGGTTTGGCTATGCCGTCAGGGGGTTTCCGATGGCCATGTTGGAGTCACTGAGATTCTGAGTTCAGGTTGTCTCAGGGGGGTTATTAATGGCCGGTTGGCTGCTGCTTGATAATAACTCTCTCGCCTGGTGTACAGGAGGTCGTGGGTTCGATCTCGACCCTGATGCTTGATGTATATTTGGAGTTTGCGGTGTCTCTCTTTCATCATCATCATCACGGTGGCTAGGAGATGTTAACTACCTCGCCTGGTGTACAGGAGGTCGTGGGTTCGATCTCGACCCTGATGCCTGATGTATATTTGGAGTTTGCGGTGTCTCTCTTTCATCATCATCATCATCACGGCGGCTAGGAGATGTTAACTACCTCGCCTGGGATACAGGAGGTCGTGGGCTCGATCTCGACCCTTATGTATATTTGTAGTTTGCGTGTCTCTCTCTCATCATCATCATGGTGTCTAGGAGATGTTACCTACCTTGCCTGGTATGCAGGAGGTCGTGGGTTCGATTTCAACCTTGACGCCTGCTGCTGTATATTTGGAGTTTGCGTGTCTCTCTCTCTCATCATTATCACGGTGGCGAGGAGATGTTAACTACCTCGCCTGGTATGCAGGAGGTCGTGGGCTCATCACACCGCTGTGTCTCGCAGTCAGTGGGTTCATAATTATCTGTGCCAGAGATCAAGTTCCAGGCGTTGGGGTTTGGCTGTGCCGTCAGGGGGTTTCCGATGGCCGTGTTAGAGTCACTGAGATTCTGAGTTCAGGTTGTCTCAGGGGGGTTATTAATGGCCGGTTGGCTGCTGCTTGATAATAACTCTCTCGCCTGGTGTACAGGAGGTCGTGGGTTCGATCTCGACCCTGATGCTTGATGTATATTTGGAGTTTGCGGTGTCTCTCTTTCATCATCATCATCACGGTGGCTAGGAGATGTTAACTACCTCGCCTGGTGTACAGGAGGTCGTGGGTTCGATCTCGACCCTGATGCCTGATGTATATTTGGAGTTTGCGGTGTCTCTCTTTCATCATCATCATCATCACGGCGGCTAGGAGATGTTAACTACCTCGCCTGGGATACAGGAGGTCGTGGGCTCGATCTCGACCCTTATGTATATTTGTAGTCAGAGGTGGGACAAAGTCATTGTTATGCAAGTCCAAGTCGAGTCTGAAGTCATCAAATTCATGACTCGAGTCTGACTCGAGTCCAAGTCACATGACTCGAGTCCACACCTCAGAGGTGGGACAAAGTCATTGTTATGCAAGTCCAAGTCGAGTCTGAAGTCATCAAATTAATGACTCGAGTCTGACTCGAGTCCAAGTCACATGACTCGAGTCCACACCTCAGAGGTGGGACAAAGTCATTGTTATGCAAGTCCAAGTCGAGTCTGAAGTCATCAAATTCATGACTCGAGTCTGACTCGAGTCCAAGTCACATGACTCGAGTCCACACCTCTGTTTGTAGTTTGCGTGTCTCTCTCTCATCATCATCATGGTGTCTAGGAGATGTTACCTACCTTGCCTGGTATGCAGGAGGTCGTGGGTTCGATCTCAACCTTGACGCCTGCTGCTGTATATTTGGAGTTTGCGTGTCTCTCTCTCTCATCATTATCACGGTGGCGAGGAGATGTTAACTACCTCGCCTGGTATGCAGGAGGTCGTGGGCTCATCACACCGGCTGTGTCTCGCAGTCAGTGGGTTCATAATTATCTGTGCCAGAGATCAAGTTCCAGGCGTTGGGGTTTGGCTATGCCGTCAGGGGGTTTCCGATGGCCGTGTTAGAGTCACTGAGATTCTGAGTTCAGGTTGTCTCAGGGGGGTTATTAATGGCCGGTTGACTGCTGCTTGATAATAACTCTCTCGCCTGGTATACAGGAGGTCGTTGGTTCGATCTCGACCCTGATGCCTGATGTATATTTGGAGTTTGCGGTGTCTCTTTCATCATCATCACGGTGGCTAGGAGATGTTTACTACCTCGCCTGAGATACAGGAGGTCGTGGGTTCGATCTCAACCCTGACGCCTGCTGCTGTATATTTGGAGTTTGCGTGTCTCTCTCTCATCATCATCACGGTGTCTAGGAGATGTTTACTACCTCACCCGGTATACAGGAGGTCGTGGGTTCGATCTCGACCCTGATGCCTGATGTATATTTGGAGTTTGCGGTGTCTCTCTCATCATCACGGCGGCTAAGAGATGTTAACTACCTCGCCTGGGATACAGGAGGTCGTGGGCTCGATCTCGACCCTTATGTATATTTGTAGTTTGCGTGTCTCTCTCTCATAATCATCATGGTGTCTAGGAGATGTTAACTACCTCGCCTGGTATGCAGGAGGTCGTGGGTTCGATCTCAACCTTGACGCCTGCTGCTGTATATTTGGAGTTTGCGTGTCTCTCTCTCTCATCATTATCACGGTGGCGAGGAGATGTTAACTACCTCGCCTGGTATGCAGGAGGTCGTGGGCTCATCACACCGGCTGTGTCTAGCAGTCAGTTGGTTCATAATTATCCGTGCCAGATATCAGGTTCCAGGCGTTGGGGTTTGGCTATGCCGTCAGGGGGTTTCCGATGGCCATGTTAGAGTCACTGAGATTCTGAGTTCAGGTTGTCTCAGGGGGGTTATTAATGGCCGGTTGGCTGCTGCTTGATAATAACTCTCGCCTGGTATACAGGAGGTCGTGGGTTCGATCTCGACCCTGATGCCTGATGTATATTTGGAGTTTGTGGTGTCTCTCTTTCATCATCATCACGGCGGCTAGGAGATGTTAACTACCTCGCCTGGTGTACAGGAGGTCGTGGGTTCGATCTCGACCCTGATGCTTGATGTATATTTGGAGTTTGCGGTGTCTCTCTTTCATCATCATCACGGCGGCTAGGAGATGTTAACTACCTCGCCTGGTGTACAGGAGGTCGTGGGTTCGATCTCGACCCTGATGCCTGCCTGATGTATATTTGGAGTTTGCGGTGTCTCTCTTTCATCATCATCACGGTGGCTAGGAGATGTTAACTACCTCACCCGGTATACAGGAGGTCGTGGGTTCGATCTCGACCCTGATGCCTGATGTATATTTGGAGTTTGCGGTGTCTCTCTCATCATCACGGCGGCTAAGAGATGTTAACTACCTCGCCTGGGATACAGGAGGTCGTGGGCTCGATCTCGACCCTTATGTATATTTGTAGTTTGCGTGTCTCTCTCTCATAATCATCATGGTGTCTAGGAGATGTTAACTACCTCGCCTGGTATGCAGGAGGTCGTGGGTTCGATCTCAACCTTGACGCCTGCTGCTGTATATTTGGAGTTTGCGTGTCTCTCTCTCTCATCATTATCACGGTGGCGAGGAGATGTTAACTACCTCGCCTGGTATGCAGGAGGTCGTGGGCTCATCACACCGGCTGTGTCTAGCAGTCAGTTGGTTCATAATTATCCGTGCCAGATATCAGGTTCCAGGCGTTGGGGTTTGGCTATGCCGTCAGGGGGTTTCCGATGGCCATGTTAGAGTCACTGAGATTCTGAGTTCAGGTTGTCTCAGGGGGGTTATTAATGGCCGGTTGGCTGCTGCTTGATAATAACTCTCTCGCCTGGTATACAGGAGGTCATGGGTTCGATCTCGACCCTGATGCCTGATGTATATTTGGAGTTTACGGTGTCTCTCTTTCATCATCATCACGGTGGCTAGGAGATGTTAACTACCTCGCCTGGTGTACAGGAGGTCGTGGGTTCGATATCGACCCTGATGCCTGCTGCTGTATATTTGGAGTTTGCGGTGTCTCTCTTTCATTATCATCACGGTGGCTAGGAGATGTTAACTACCTCACCCGGTATACAGGAGGTCGTGGGTTCGATCTCGACCCTGATGCTTGATGTATATTTGGAGTTTGCGGTGTCTCTCTTTCATCATCATCACGGCGGCTAGGAGATGTTAACTACCTCGCCTGGGATACAGGAGGTCGTGGGCTCGATCTCGACCCTTATGTATATTTGTAGTTTGCGTGTCTCTCTCTCATCATCATCATGGTGTCTAGGAGATGTTAACTACCTCGCCTGGTATGCAGGAGGTCGTGGGTTCGATCTCAACCTTGACGCCTGCTGCTGTATATTTGGAGTTTGCGTGTCTCTCTCTCTCATCATTATCACGGTGGCGAGGAGATGTTAACTACCTCGCCTGGTATGCAGGAGGTCGTGGGTTCGATCTCAACCTTGACGCCTGCTGCTGTATACTTGGAGTTTGCGTGTCTCTCTCTCTCATCATTATCACGGTGGCGAGGAGATGTTAACTACCTCGCCTGGTATGCAGGAGGTCGTGGGTTCGATCTCAACCCTGACGCCTGCTGCTGTATATTTGGAGTTTGCGTGTCTCTCTCTCATCATCATCACGGTGTCTAGGAGATGTTTACTCCCTCGCCTGGGATACAGGAGGTCGTGGGTTCGATCTCAACCCTGTCGCCTGCTGCTGTATATTTGGAGTTTGCGTATCTCTCTCTCTGTGGTTGCGTGGATTTTTCTCCGTTTCCTCCAGTTTTTCCCTCCACATTTAGAATCAACGTCACGCATTTAACGAATTTGGTTGCTGCTGTAATTTTCCACGTGATGATGATGATGAGCCCACTACTTTGAGCCGCTATCATTTGTGGCAGCCAGGACGCTTCTGAAATAGAGCTACACAGTTCAGTGGGGCCTTACCTGGCAAAATAAAAACAATAGTTTATATAGTTGATCATCGATTATCCGGCTGCTTTCAACATCCAGCGGTCCTAGGCCGATCCGGCAAAACCGTTTCAAAGGCTGTCGGCACCGTGTGTGCGTGACAAAAAGAAGTAGCTACGCTTGAACTAGGTGTCAAATAATGTTGCGGTACATGATACACTACATACAACTTAAACAATACTGTACGTGTATACACACCACCCCATGATGCAAAAGTCTTCCAGATTGGAGTGAAGAGTACGGTGCAGTAAGCGCAGTCACTTTTTTTTACAGGAGGATATTTATTTTTGTCTACTTGCATGTTTATCCGTGACAATTTCACGTTGTAAACGAATTAAAAAATGCTACGAGAAAAAAAACATTCAACAACACCAGAAAACATAACGGCATGCAAGACCCTCGTAAAAAATTTGCCATTTTAAGTAGTAATGATTTTGGCGATTATCCGGCGTTTTTGAAAATCCGGCATCATCTCCCACCCCCGAAGCCACTGGATGATTATCGTTGATCTCCTGCAGTTTTTGTTGATTGTAATGATAAGAAAAATTCATAAAGCGCCCTTCAAACGATCGTTTTCACGGCACTGCGCTTGCCCGAGCAAGCTTGTCGAAGGCCACATGGGGTGGTGGGGTGAATCTTTTGTCTTTGGCTCACGTTCCCGCAGGCTTCCTGCGCAAGGTCTACGCCATCCTCTCGGTGCAGATTCTGCTCACGGTGGCCGTGGCGGTTCTCATTGATCGGACCGACATCGTCGAGGACTTCATTCAGAAGAAGTGAGCCACTGGCCGCCGGGCCTCCTCCTCCTTTAAACGTTATCGGCAGCATCATCATCATCGTCGTCGCCATCAGCGGAACTATTATCGGCAGCAGCATCATCGTCATCATCATCAGCAGAATTATCATCAGCAGAATCATCGTCATCATCTTCGTCGCCATTAGCAGAATTATTATCGGCGGAATTATTATCATCATCGTCATCATCGTCGCCAACAGCAGAATTATTTTCAACATCATCGTCGTCGCCATCAGCAGAATTATCATCATTATCGTCACCACCATCATCAGCAGCAGAATTATCAGCATCATCATCACTATCAGCAGAATTATCATCCGCATCATCATCGTCGGCAGAATTATCAGCAGCATCATCATTGTCAGCAGCAGAATAATTATCAGCATCATCGTTGCCTTCACCAAAATTATCATCATCAGCATTATCATTATCATAGTCATCACCATCAGCAGAATTATTAGCATCATGACCATTCATTACAAAAGCAGCAGCAACATGATTCATATTGTCGTGTTTCTCCCCCCGCGTGTCCCCCGCGTGTCTCCCCGCGTGTCCCCCTGCGTGTCTCCAGCTCGTGGGTGATGCTCATCTCCTGCGTGCTGTCCATGGGGCTGCTGCTTGCCCTCTTCGACAAGCGTCGCGATCACCCCACCAACCTCATCCTCCTCTTCGCTTTCGTGAGTCCGCCACGGCCTGGTCGGCAGGTTCATTATGGCTGTGTCAGTTCCTTCATGGAGAACCACAGAGACCCACAGACTTGCACAGAGCTCCACAGACTCGCACAGAGCCCCACAAACTCACACAGAGCCCCACACACTTGCACAGAGCCCCACAAAATCGCACAGAGACCCACAGACTAGTTAAGAGACTGACAGACTCACACAGAGACCCACAGACTCGCACAGAGACCCACAGACTCGCACAGAGACCCACAGACTCGCACAGAGACCCACAGACTCGCACAGAGACCCACAGACTCACACAGAGACCCACAGACTCGCAGAGACCCACAGGGCCGGGTCAACCCAGCACAGCGCTAACCATCGCACCGTGATGCTTCATCATCGTTATTTTTCATTATTTTTGGATCACCTTGGTGGTGGAGGTTTTGTTGTTGGTGGTGTTGGTGATGTTGTTGATGTTATTGTTGTTGTTGGTGGTGGTATTGAGGGGACGCCCCGAGTGAGCCGCGTTGACTCTGTGCTGCGTTTATTTTTCCTCCAGACTCTGGTGGAGGCGTTCACGCTGGGGGTTGTGGGTAAGTGGCATCTGTGCCGCCCTGTGTGTGTATAGGTACGTGTGTGTGTGTGTATACGTACGTGTGTGTGTGTGTATACGTACGTGTGTGTGTGTGTATACGTACGTGTGTGTGTGTGTATACGTACGTGTGTGTGTGTGTATACGTACGTGTGTGTGTGTGTATACGTACGTGTGTGTGTGTGTATACGTACGTGTGTGTGTGTATAGGTACGTGTGTGTGTGTGTGTATACGTACGTGTGTGTGTGTGCTATACGTACGTGTGTGTGTGTGTATACGTACGTGTGTGTGTGTGTATACGTACGTGTGTGTGTGCGTATACGTACGTGTGTGTGTGTATATACGTACGCGTGTGTGCGTGTGTATACGTACTTGTGTGTGTGTATACGTACGTGTGTGTATATGTCTCTTGGCCAAACCCCATTTGGCGGAGCCATGAGACTGAACCCTTAAACTCGGGGTTCCTCCACAAACAGCAAAAAGCTATTGCGGGTTGCCACGTGGAATGTTCGAATGCTCATTGCGGAGGAGAGGTTGCCTCTCCTCTGTCGGGAGCTGGACCGGTACCGCCTGGATCTCGCTGGTATTCAGGAGGTCCGGTGGATCGGCTCTGGCTCCTGCCACCATGAGGGGTGGACAGTCCTCTACTCGGGGCAGGAGACTGCCAAACAACAGTGAGTGGCTCTTCTTCTGAACCAAATAATTAAGGGGGTGTGGGAGTGTGGCGGTGAGGTGTGGGAAGCTGTAAGCCCAAGGATACTATGTGCTCGCTTTCCCATCAACCAGAGGAGAGGAGTGCTGGTCTTGGTTACTTATAAGAAGACCATCAGTGGAGGGATGCAGGAAAGGCCGATGAGTCGGATGCCTTCGATGACCTCCTGTCACAGGTGCTAGGTAAAGTCACCCTCTTGGGTGACTTTAATACCCGGAGTGAGTCATGATGCTGGCACCTGGGCTGGAGTGATTGGAAGGCATGGGCCAGATCAGTTCAATAACAACGGTAGGAGACTGATAGACTTCCGTGCAGCCCATGGGCTTGTAATTACCCATACGCTGTTCCAACATCGGCACATCCACACAACATCATGGATGCACGCCGGGTCCGGCAAGAACAGTTGCTGGACTTCATAGTGATGGAACAGCGGATGCGGGACCATGTGATGGTATGATGGTGGACAGGCCCGGGTAAAATATGTGGCTGGGAGTCAGTCATTCCCTGTTTATCTTGGGGTGCAACAGGGATGCCCCATGGCTCCCACATTGTTTAACATCTGTGGTACAGGAGGATGTGGAGCAGAGTGGACTTGCCGATGACTGGTACCAGCGGTGTCAAGATCGGCCTCTGGAGGAGGCTCGTGAAGGACGCTACTGGGCAGTTGGAGGCAGTCGCCCTCCAATAACAACGGAGAGCAGAGGAGCGACACTCACAACACGCAGCAAGTTGGCACAGTAGGGGGCACAGGTGGTGCATCAGGCAGTCATCTCAGTCAGTCGACCCTTGGCATCTGGGTCTGCCCCGTGACCTCGTGCCAGTGGGCGTTCGACACTTCACTTGGCCTCAACGTGCACATAGCCTGGCACAGGTGCCGTGGTGACGTTACCGCCACTTAGTGGTGAATGGCGGTTGTTGTTGTTGCTGTATCTCTGTATGTGTATCTCTGTGTGTGTGTGTATCTCTGTGTGTATATCTCTGTGTGTGTATCTCTGTGTGTGTATCTCTGTGTGTGTGTGTATCTCTGTGTGTGTATCTCTGTGTGTATATCTCTGTGTGTGTATCTCTGTATATCTCTGTGTGTGTATCTCTGTGTGTATATCTCTGTGTGTGTATCTCTGTATCTCTGTGTGTATCTCTGTGTCTGTGTATCTCTGTGTGCATCTCTGTGTGTGTGTATCTCTGTGTGTGTATGTATATCTCTGTGTATCTCTGTGTGTGTATCTCTGTGTGTGTATCTCTGTATATCTCTGTGTGTATATCTCTGTGTATCTCTGTGTGTGGATGTGCAGTGACGTTCTACGACCAGGTCGTGGTGTTCCAGGCGTGCGTCCTCACGGCCGCCGCCTTTGTGGGCCTCACCGTCTACACCCTGCAGACCAAGAGGGACTTTAGCTGCATGGAGACCGGGTGAGTTCTGGCCCAGTCCACCCAGGGGGAGGCCAGTCCGTCCATCCACCGACCCGCCCGCGGCGCTTGCTATGGTGGAGTGTCGATTGTAGCGCTAACCGCACCGCCACCGCTGAGGGGGTGGGTTGGCGTGTGGGGGGGCGAACCACTGTGTGTGCAATTGGCACAGTAGGGGGCACAGGTGGTGCATCAGCCAGTCATCTCGGTCATCTCAGTCGAACCCGTGGCACCTGCTGGGTCTGCCCCGTGACCTCCTGCCAGCGGGCGCTCGACACTTCACGTGGCCTTAACGTGGCATAGGTGCCGTGGTGATGTCTACCGCCACTTAGTAGCGAATGGCTGTTGTTGTGTGTCACAGGGGAGCGGTGGTGTATTGGTTAGCGCGTAGCGCTATGAGCCCGGCGACCCGAGTTCAATTCCTGCTCACGGCCAACACCAGTGACGATTATTATGAACTGGTCCTCCCATAGATCGACTCAGCCTCAAATTAGTACCAAGTGCGATGTGTTAAACATCGCCACTGGGGAGACGTGTAGCCCATCCATCCCCTCGTGTGCCGTGCCTGCCTTCTGTTAAGGCTGTATGGGTGGGGGTCTTTGTCTCTGTGTGTGTGGGGTGCAGGCTGTTTGCTGGCCTCTGGATATTGATCATCGCTGGATATCTTGGGGTGAGCAATAAGACGCCTACCGCCCCCCCCCCCATCACCTCCCTGTCTCCTCCCCGCTCCTTTGACAAATCTCCACCTCCCATCTTGGTGTCTCCCAGTAGCTCCCCCCCCCTCACCCCCCCGTCTCTCCTCCCCCCCCCATCTCTCTTCCACCCCCCCCCCCCCCGTCTCTCCTCTCTCCCCCTCCCCCCTCTCCTCTCCTGCCTCCCCCCATCTCTCTTCCACCCCCCTCCCCCCCTGGTCTCTCCTCCCTCCCCCCCATCTCTCTTCCCCCCCCCATCTCTCTTCCACCTCCCCCCCACCCCCCCATCTCTCCTCCCTCCCCCTGGTCTCTCCTCCCTCCCCCCCGTCTCTCCTCTCCTCCCTCCCCCCCATCTCTCTTCCACCCCCCCCCCGTCTCTCCTCCCACCCTCCGTCTCTCCTCTCCGTTGGTCTAACCCCCCCCCGTCCCGTCCCCAGCTGTTCCTGCGTTATCTGCTGGTGGAGCTGGCGCTGGCCGGTAGCGGTGCATTGCTCTTCTGCGGCTTCGTGGTGTGGGACACCCAGCGGCTGCTGCATAGCCTCTCCCCCGAGGACTACGTGGAGGGAGCCGTCTCCCTCTACCTCGACCTCATCAACCTCTTCCTTGACATCCTGCGCCTGCTGGAGGCCATTCGGCGCAAGTGAGAGAGCAGGCGGCGCGCGGGGGGGGGGGGGAGTGGGGAGGGAAGTGGGGGGGGAGTGGGGGTGGGCCAACCTCTTGCTCACTAGCTACTACACTCACCACCTAGTACACACGCTCACTGGCTAATACACTCGTTAATGTACTCGCTCACCACCTAGTACACTCACCACCTACTACACTCGCTTACTAGCTACTACACTCACCACCTAGTACACTCAGCACCTACTACACTTGCTTACCACCTAGTACACTCACCACCTAGTACACTCACCGCCTACGACACTCGCTTACCACCTAGTACACTTGCTAGTCTACTCACTAGCTAGTAGACTCACCACCTAGTACACTCACCATCTAGTACACACGCTCACTGGCTAATACACTCGTTAGTATACTCACTCACTAGCTAGTAGACTCACCACCTAGTAGACTCACCACCTAGTACACTCACCACCTAGTACACTCACCACCTAGTACACTCACCACCTACTACACTCGCTTACCACCTAGTACACTCACACCACCTAGTACACTCGCTTACTAGCTACTATACTCGTCACCCAGTACACTTGCTCACCAGCGAGTACACTCATTCAGCGAGCACTCACTAGCAGCCAGCCAGCACTGCTGTTTCTCACCGGTACACTAATTCATTAAGTCATCCATTCACTCATTCACTCACCCACATTCTGTATGTCTCTCACACAGTGTATGGAATGTGATATTTGTAAAGGGGGAGACTAATATATATGTAAATGATATTCCTGTGCACATGTCAACCTGCAATCTATGGGAGGGTGGTGGGGCTCTGTGATTTCTATTGTTGCGGTTGTTGGGGGCCGGGGGGGGGGGGTGACCTCGCGACTCCCCTGCATTTTCCAACTCGGCTTCGCAGTGTCTGTGAGTGATGTGCGCGTGTGTGATGCCCGGTGTGATGCCTGTGTAACGTTCTCGAAGGAGACGGAGACTTCTTAGAGGCCACACGCTTTTATTCACCAAATACTTGCTACACCTAACACAAGGGGTATACGGTCCCCGTACCCGTTATCCTGACGATGCTACAGACTCCGGACTTGCCGGCTATCTTCCCCGCTAGCCTAGCGTCCTCCGGCTGGGACCTAGGGGAGGCACACTGACCCGCCGCTGGCCCGGCGGGTCCCCGACCTCTGGTCGCTCAGGACCTTCGCCCTCACAAGGGCTGGAAGGCTTGGTCCAGGGTCCTAGCTGTCTTCAGCCGACTTGGGTCTTCGTGTAGCAGAACTTCCCGGAGCTCTCAGCGCTCCGGCTTTTATATTTGTTCGTGGCCGGGTTAACCAATCCCCGGAAACCTCTTGGATCCCTTCGATTGGTTCTTCCCAATCTGGCATTTGGATCCTACTTCACCCCATTTGACGCTTACTGTTTGATTGAGCGGGAAACCCTTGTTTACCAACTGCTCTCTCACAGCTTGCGAACAGCGAGTAGTTATCACCACTACACATGCACTCTGATGAACGGTATGACGCACTTGATGTGAAGCACGTGCTGTGATGCCCGATGTGACGCACGCGCTCCGACGCACGTGCTGTAACGTGCCCGGTGTGACGTGCCCAGTGTGACGTGCCCAGTGTGACGCTCGCGCTGTGATGCCCGGTTTGACGCCAGGTGCGATGCCAGGTATGACGTGCGTGTGTGTGTGTGCGCGTGTGACGAGCGGTGGCGACCGTCCCACGCCACCAGAACCGGACACGCGCGCACACACACACACACCCACACGCGGCCGCCCCCCCCCACCCTCCCTACACCTGGCAGACAAAAACCAGCGCTAAAAGTATTTGCCTTGCTGGCCAAGGTGGAGACTACGGCGGTGGCCCCCAGCGCCCGGGCAACGCCGGTTGTGGCCTCCCCACCCCATCCCCCGACTTGAGCGGCGGCAACGTTGCTCTGACATCGGCCCGACTTGCGAGTCTGCCGGTCGGGCCGGCGTATGGCCCCAAAATTTGCTCGAGCGTTGCTTGGCGCCCACCGCCCCGACATCCGAAGTCGGCCTTCGCCTCCGAAGCGCCGACAGATCTTCCCCACCGACTCGAGACCTCTGCGTGGGCGCGCGTGGTGGTGGCAGCGGTGGCAGCGCTGGGGAATCCGAGCATGTGCCTGGTTCTTCTTCCACCCCATTCTTGCCCCCCCCCCCCCCCCCCCCCCCCGGAGTGTCTTCTCTGCTTCTCTGCGTGTCGTTCTTTCGTTCTTCGGTTATGCGGCCAAAACCTCCGGCTCCGTTGCGATGGATAATAATCGTATTTGTCAGTCGTGCTGCGACTGACATGACCCACTGTAGTGGCGTGGGGGGTGTGGACAGTATGTACAGTGCAAGCATTTTTCTACAGTGTACACAGTGCAATCAGTTTGGACAGTGCGAACAGTGCACAATGCAGACTTTGCACAGTGCAAACTGTTTTTGCACAATAAGTACAGTGCAACCAGTTTGTGCAGTGCGGTCTCATGCTGTCGACTGTTTTGTACAGTGCAGACAGTTTTGTACAGTGCGCACAGTGCAATCAGTTGTACAGTGCGGACAGCGCAAGCAGTTTTGTACAGTGCCCCCACCCCACTCTGTGTGTGCGTCTGGCTGCGTTTTCTTTTTGCGTGGTGGGGCAAGCAGAGCGTAATTGCAATGCAAGTCGCTTATAATCCCCATTGTCAAATTTGTCAATAAAATTCATGTTGGGCACTCTCTTGGTTTGTGTGTGTAGTGGTGAATGTGTGTGCAGTGGTGAGTGTGTTTGTGCAGTGGTCTGTAGTGGTGAACGTGTGTGCAGTGGTGGTGTAGTGGCGAGTCTGTGTGCGGTTGGCACAGCTGGTGCATCTGCCAGTCACCTCAGTCAACCCATGGCAACCTGCTGGGTCTGTCTTGTGACCTGCCAGCAGCGAGCCTTCGTCACTTCACGTGGCCTCAAAGTGCACGTAGTCTGGTACACAAGACCTACAGTACTCGTAGGTTTTTTTGGTAAAGTCACGTAGGTAAAAATAAAAATAAATAATAGAAATAATAATAGAAATAAAATAATAAATCACGACGTTTCGGAGGCAATACAAGTCTCCGTCATCAGGTGGGACCGTCACAGCTAAATTTACTGTATCAAGTGAGGAAAAATCCAAGAGACAAGCTCTTAAATACAAGTTCAGGGGGAGGGGGGAGGGGCTTATCTGAATGTGGTAGCCAGTGAATGGAACGTGTTGGGGGGGGGTGGGCGGGGCTAAAAGAGAACAATTAGTGCACCTCAACTCGGGGTTGTGGCCGGTGTTGGCTGACAATCCAAATACAAAACAGCAGTACTGTTAAACGCTGGGGATGTCAACACTCGGTAAAGTAGAATAGTACCTGTCAAATAAGATGGTACAAATATGTGTAGTTAAATCTTTTTTTACATGGTTAATAACATCTTTCCAAAGATTACTCAGTTTGTACCCATCATCACGGTTGAAGTTATATCTGTGTTTGTAAATATGGATGGCTTCGTGTACAAACCTTTGATGGTAGCCAGAAGGTTTGCAGAGTACCTTGGTCTCGGAAAAGACAATATCATGAGAGCTTATAGCGTTGTAGCAATGATCGGCAACGGCAGAAGACTCAATTTTGCCGTGTTTCAGATCTGACTTGTGCTCGCGGACACGATCGGAGACATGACGTTTCGTTTCCCCAATGTAACAATCACCACAGATGCAACTCAGTTTATAGACTCCAGGGTATTGCAAGTCAGGAATGACATCTTTTACAGATGGGATTAGATCACAGATTTTATGTACTGTACTGAATCGGACTTGGATCTTATGTTTGTTTAGAATTTTGGAGATCTTTTTGGTCAAGCCTGCTATGTATGGCAACGTGATAGTTTTGATCGGAGTTTCAAGTGGTTGTTTCTGTATGGTGGGAGAAACAGCTTGGCGGATAGTGTGGTCAGAGTATCCGTTCATCTTGAGGGCCCGATGTACATGTTTTAATTCACTGGCCACGTGGTGTTGGTCAGAGATGCCATGAGCTCTGTGGTATAGCGTTTTGATGAGATAATTCTTTTGAGCCGGTTGGTGGTCATCACCCTATCACCCAACCAATGCGGCTTCGTCAAAGGATGTGGCACTACGGATGCCATATTCGCGGCGAGGCTCCTGCTGGAGAGGCACAGAGAGAAGAACAAAGCTGTGCACGTGTCGTTCCTCGACCTTGAAAAGGCATTTGACAGGGTCCCCCACGACCTCATCTGGCACTCGCTTCGATCCCATGGAGTCCCTGAAACCTACGTGCATTGGGTGCAACTCCTATACAAAAACGTCACCAGTGCAGTCAGGTGTGCAGTGGGCATATCACCGCCATTTCCCATCAGCGTTGGAGTGCACCAAGGATCGGCCCTGTCACCACTCCTGTTTATCCTGTGCATGGACACGATCACTGCCGACCTGCACACGCCCCTTCCATGGTCAATTCTCTACGCGGATGACGTCCTCCTCTCAGATGAAGAGAGAGGAGAAGTGGAAAGACAAACGCGCCTGTGGAAGGAACGTTTGGACGAAAACGGGATGAGGTTCAACATCAAAAAGACGGAGTATATGGAGTGTTGCCCCCAAACCGACGGCACCATCAGCATTGACGGAGAAGATCTGAAGAAAGTGACGGACTTTAAGTACCTGGGCTCCACCATCAGCTCAGATGGTAGCATCACGACTGATGTGAGGTCACGAGTCAATGCGGCGTGGATGAAATGGAGGCAAGTCACCGGAGTCCTCTGTGATCGGAAAATGCCGGATAGGCTGAAGGGAAAAATATACAAGACCATCGTCCGACCGGTGGCACTCTATGGATCCGAGTGCTGGCCAGCCACAACTGTACACGAACAAGCTCTCCACACCATGGAGATGAGGTTGCTCAGATGGAGCCTCGGGCTCACTCGATGGGATCGTGTCAGGAATGAAGACGTTCGGAAGCGACTTGGTGTGGCCCCCATTGCGGACAAGATGCTTGAGGCAAGGCTTCGGTGGTACGGCCATGTGATGCGAAGTGAAGAGTCATCAGTGGCCAAGACTGCCGTGCGTATTGAGCCAGAGGGCCGCCGTCCACGCGGACGTCCGAAGAAGCGATGGATGGACCGAATAAAGGAAGACATGAAGACGGTCAACGCATCCCCTGAAGATGCCCTGGACCGAGCCAAATGGAGAAGACAATGCCGAAAAGCGGACCCTGCGCCACAGCGGGAACAACGCTAGGAAGAAGAAGAAGGTGGTGGGAATCAGGTTTCAAGTAGGAATCTGTGTGGGTGGCTTTCCTGTAGACAGAATGTCCCAAGGATCCATCAGGTCTTCTCTCCAGCAGAACATCTAAGAATGGTAGTTTGCCATCTTTCTCCACTTCCATGGTGATGATGGGTACAAACTGAGTAATCATTGGAAAGATGTTATTAACCATGTAAAAAAGATTTAACTACACATATTTGTACCATTTTATTTGACAGGTACTATTCTACTTTACCGAATGTTGACATCCTCAGCGTTTAACAGTACTGCTGTTTTGTATTTGGATTGTCAGCCAACATCGGCCGCAACCCCAAGTTGAGGTGCACCAATTGTTCTCTTTTAGCCCCGCCCACCCCCCCCAACACGTTCCATTCACTGGCTAACACATTCAGATAAGCCCCTCCCCTTTAACTTGTATTTAAGAGCTTGTCTCTTGGATTTTTCCTCACTTGATACAGTAAATTTAGCTGTGACGGTCCCACCTCATGACGGAGACTTGTGTTGCCTCCGAAACGTCGTGATTTATTATTTTATTTCTATTATTATTTCTATTATTTTATTCATTTTAATTTTTACCCACGTGACTTTACTGAAAAAACCTAAGCGTATGAATCCTTGCAGTCACGAAAGCTTCAAATCTAGAATTAAGACCTACAGTGACGTCGCCGCCTCTTAGTGGCGAATGGAGGATCACCCGTGTGTGGATTAACCGTGTGTGGATTAACCGTGGGTGGATAAACCGTGGGTGGATCGTGGATCCTCTGTGGGTGGATGACTTCAACCCGGCAGGGTGAGGATTGTTCCCCAACTTACCGGCGAGGCTGTATATGAGTGGACGTGGCCTCCGGGGCAACGGATTGGAAGCGGCGACCCTCCTGGATTGCGAGTCCAGCGCTGCCGCCACCACTGCTGCCCGTGCGCATGTGCGTGCGTCTATGGCTCAGCGGTTAAGCGCTATGAGCCCAGCGACCCAAGTTCGATTCAGTGCTCACGGCCACCAACACCACAGTGACGATTATCTGAACCGGTGCTGGGCCTCCCCTAGGTCGACTCAGCCTCTTTTGAGTGTGTTGACATCGCCACTGGGGAGACAAAGGCGGCCGGGCGTGGTGCTGGCCACCCACCCCCTCGTGTGCCGTTCCGGACTTCATAGGTGTCGCTACTCGCGAACAGCACTTGCCCCAACAGTCTGTTAAGGATACACGGGGATCTTTGTCTTCATATATATGTAATAAAGGCCGTTGAGACAACGTCTGGAATTCAGTATACTTTATTAAGTTTCTTTCACAGCTCTCACTATATCCGTTCCTCTACTCTATGGCTCCTTCACGCTGTTGGCAGACAGCGTGAGAGGGAGAGAGAGAGACTGCCGAGGCCCGCCACGTGGCTGGCTCCGGACCACGGCACCAGCGTAGCTTCCACCTTCGTTCCTCCAAGCTCTGACCACGTGCTGTCTGTCTCCGCCCCTTTTAATTCCTGGCCCACGTGATGCCCCGCAGCCAGTCCTCAGCCACACCCCTGGAACCTTCCAGAGCCCACTGTCCTACCCCAGGGCCATGCCCCTAACTCGACTCCCCATTGGTTGCAGGCTGAAGCCAGCAGAGACAATCCTCCTCCAGGTGTAACCTTCGCATTACATCAGGGCCACGCCCCTGGCTCGATTCCCCATTGGTTGTGGGCTGAGGCCGGCAGAGTCAATCATTATCATCCAGGTGTAACCAATTAATCATCCAGATGTAACCCATTTATCAACCAGGTGTAACCTCACATTACATATACATAAAAATAAATAAAGCCATTAACCTCACGAATAATCAGCAAGTAAATAGCCAACACTTTAATAAATAAAAACATTCCAGATCATCGTCTTTGGCACCAGCAAAATTAACCTGAGTGTCGCTAATAAGCGAGCGTCGCTAGCGAGCGTCGCTAGCGAGCGTCGCTAGCGAGCGTCGCTAACGAGCGTCGCTAACGAGCGTTCTCCCTGAGCCGTTAACTCTCCCCCAGAGGAGATGCATTGTGGGAGTTTCCCACCATCCGTGCCGAACAGCCAATCGGATTCACTCGCAGTGGGTTGTTCTGGGGCTGCACTGCCACTCCGTCTCTGGGTTACGTGGTGGTAGTGGTGATGGTAGTAGTGGTGGTAGTCGTGGTGGTGGTAGTGATGGTAGTGGTGGTGGTGGTAGTGGTGATGGTAGTGGTGGTTGGTGGTGGCGGTAGTTGGCGGTAGTTGTGGTAGTGGTGGTGGTAGCGGTGGTGGTAGTGGTGGTAGTGGTGGTAGTGGTAGTAGTGGTGGTGGTGCTAGTGGCGGTTGCGGCGGTGACAGCAGCGGCAGCGCAACCGCGAAAAAATATTTCGCGAGGTTCAGCAGAATTAGCATCCGCATCATCATCGTGAGCAGCAGAATTATCAGCAGCATCATCATTGTCAGCAGCAGGAGAATTATCATCAGCATCATCATTGCCTTCAAAATTACCATCACAATTATCATCATCATCGTCATCACCATCAGCAGGATTATCATCAGCATCATCACAATTCATCACAATAGCAGCAGCAACATGATTAGCATTGTCGTGTTTCTCCTCCCCGTTTCCCCCCGCATGTCCCCCCGCGTGTCTCCAGCTCGTGGGTGATGCTCATCTCCTGCGTGCTGTTTATGGGGTCGCTGCTTGCCCTCTTAGCCAAGCGTCGCGATGACCCCTCCAACCTCTTCCTCTTCTTCACTTTCGTGAGTCCACCACGCAGGTTCATAATGGCTGTGTCAGTGCCTTCATGGAGAACCACACAGAGACCCACAGACTCGCACAGAGACCCACAGACTCCCACAGAGACCCACAGACTCGCACAGAGACCCACAGACTTGCACAGAGACCCACAGGTTCGCACACAGCCCCACAGGATCGCACAGAGACCCACAGACTCACACAGAGACCCACAGACTCGCACAGAGACGCACAGACTCACACAGAGACCCACAGACTCGCACAGAGCCCCACAGACTCGCACAGAGACCCACAGACTCCCACAGAGCCCCACAGACTCGCACAGAGACCCACAGACTCGCACAGAGACCCACAGACTCACACAGAGACCCACAGAATCGCACAGAGACCCACAGAATCGCACAGAGACCCACAGGCTAGCACACAGCCTCACAGGATCGCACAGAGACCCACAGACTCACACAGAGACCCACAGGCTCACATAGAGAACCACATACTCACACAGAGACCCACAGACTCACACAGAGACCTAATGACTCACACAGAGACCCACAGACTCACACAGAGACCCACAGACTCACACAGAGACCCACAGACTCACATATACACCCACAGACTCGCACAGAGACCCACAGGCTCACACAGAGACCCACAGACTCACACAGAGACCCACAGGTTCACACAGAGACCCACAGACTCGCACAGAGACCTACAGACTCGCACAGAGACCCACAGATTCACATATACACCCACAGACTCACACAGAGACCCACAGGCTCGCACAGAGACCCACAGACTCACACAGAGACCCACAGGGCCGGGTCAAACCAGCACAGCTCTAACCATCGCACCGCGATGCTTCATCATCATCATTCTTTATTATTTTTGGATCACCTTGGTGGTGGAGGTGTTGGTGGTGTTAGTGATGTTATTGTTGTTGGTGGTGGTATTGTGGGGACGCCCCGAGTGAGCCGCGTTGACTCTGTGCTGCGTTTATTTTTCCTGCAGACTCTGGTGCAGGCGTTCACACTGGGGGTTTTGGGTAAGTGGCGTCCGTGCCGCCCTGTGTGTGTATAGGTACGTGTGTATGTGTCTCTTGGCCAAACCCCATTTGGCGGTTCCTCCAAAAACAGCAAAACGCCATTGCGGGTTTCCACGTGGAATGTTCGAATGTTCATTGCGGAGGAGAGGTTGCCACTCCTCTGTCGGGAGCTGGACCGGTATCGCCTGGATCTCTGTGGTATTCAGGAGGTCCCATGAGGGGTGGATAGTCCTCTATTCGGGGCAGCAGACTGCCAAACAACAGGGAGTGGCTCTTGTTCAGAACCAAATAATTAAGGGGGTGTGGGAGTGTGGCGGTGAGGTGTAGGAAGCTGTAAGCCCCAGGATACTGTGGGCTCGCCTTCCCATCAACCAGAGGCGAGAAGTGCTGGTCTTGGTTACTTATACCCCCACCGAAGATGAGCATCAGTGGAAGGAGGCAGGAAAGGTCGATGAGTCGGATGCCTTCGATGACCTCCTGTCACAGGTACTAGCTAAAGTTACCCTCTTGGGTGACTTTAATGCCCGGAGTGAGTCATGATGCTGGCACCTGGGCTGGAGTGATTGGAAGGATGCTGGCACCTGGGCTGGAGTGATTGGAAGGCATGTGCCAGATCAGTTCAATAACAATGGTAGGAGACTGATAGACTTCCCTGCAGCCCATGGGCTTGTAATTATCCATACGCTGTTCCGGCATCGCCACATCTACACAACATCATGGATGCACGCCGGGTCCGGCAAGAACGGTTTCTAGACTTCATTGTGACGGAATAACGGATGCGGAATCATGTGATGGTATAATGGTGGACAGGCCCGGGTAAACCTACAGTATGTGGCTGGGAGTTGGAGTCATGCCCTGTTCATCTTGGGGTGCAACAGGGATGCCCCCTGGCTCCCACATTAATGACTGATACCAACGGTGTCAAGATTGGCCTCTGTGGAGGAGGCTCGTGAAGGACGCTACTGGGCATTTGGAGGTAATCGCCTCCAACAACAACGGAGGGCGGAGGAGCGACGCTCACAACAAAGAGCGGAGCGCCGGGTGGCTGAAGCACATCAGCCAGTAATCCCAGTCGACCCTTGGCATCTGGGTCTGCCCCGTGACCTCGTGCCAGCGGGCGTTCGATATTTCACGTGGCCTCAACGTGCACATAGCCTGCCACAGGTGCCGTGGTGACGTTACCGCCACTTAGTGGCGAATGGCGGTTGTTGTTGTTGCTGTATCTCTGTATGTATATCTCTGTGTGTGTATCTCTGTGTGTGTGTATCTCTGTGTGTGTATCTCTGTGTGTGTGTATCTCTGTGTGTGTATCTCTGTGTGTATATCTCTGTGTGTGTGTATCTCTGTATATCTCTGTGTGTATATCTCTGTGTATCTCTGTGTGTGGGTGTGCAGTGACGTTCTACGACCACGCCGTGGTGTTACCGGTGTGCGTCCTCATGGACGCCGCCTTTGTGGGCCTCATCATCTTCACCCTGAAGACCAAGAGAAACCTCAGCCGCATGGTGACCGGGTGAGTTCTGGCCCAGTCCACCCAGGGGGAGGCCAGTGCACCCACCAGTCCGTCCGTCAGTCTGTCGACCCATCCGTCCATCCACCGATCTGCCCGCGGCGCTTGATACGATGGAGTGTCGATTGTAGCGCTAACCGCACCGCCACTGCTCAGGGGGTGGGTTGGGGTGTGGGGGGGGTGTTGTATCTATGCCCTGTTTTTAGGCCAAATTTTTTAGCTTGGCAGTGTCTCATTCTTCACCTGAAGACGGCTGCTTGCGTTGTAGCCGAAACGTCGTGAGAATTATTTTATTATGTTTTATTTTTATTATTTTATTACTTCCCTTCTACGTGACTTTACCGAAAGAACCAAGAAGATGAATCCCTGCAGTCACGAAAGCTTTAAATCGAAATAAAAGCAATCAACCTGTAGAAAGGGCGGAAATCGCCAAGCGTCGACCAAGCGAGCATCGCAAAGGACGAGCAGCAGCGGATGAGCAACAAGAGCCATCGTTCATCGCCAGAGCGCTCCAAGCCGGTGAGCGCGCACAGCCGCGTCGTCCATAAGCCTGAGCCAACACATCCTGAAGTAAGGGCGAGTGTCCGTGTGAAGTTGGCAGCGATCAAGGAGAGAGCGACGACGATATCATCGCGCACCGCCGAAGGCGAGCATCGTGCCAACTCAACAATCATCCGGCAGTGGAGAAGCCTGGAGCTGCCACCAAGAGAGAGAGAGCGCCATCGAATGCGCCGTGTGTTTGATACACACACACACCGACCAACACCCAGTGAGAACAGACAAGACGTCCAGCAGCGACGACGGAATCATCGCGCACCACGTCGGCGAGCGTCGTGCCAACTCGTCATCCAGCAGTGGAGAGAGAGAGCGCACGAGCAGAGACACGCCCGAGCGAGGGTGTAGCACGGGCTCGCTGCGGCCACGCCCAAGCGAGAGGAACCTCTCTGGCCGCTGGTTGTATCCTCCCCCACCCCACAAGCTCCGACACAGCGCCCTGCCTCTACTTAAAATATAAATTATCAAGGGAACAATACAACGCACACACAACACGCACACGAATAAGACTTTCAAAAAATTATCTTTGTGTTTCAAAAGGGTTGCCATTTCAAGGTGGTGCGTTCAATATCAACTGATCGTGCAAAGCAGTTGCTGCCGTCGAGTTACATGAATAAGAAGTGTTTTAGTCATTCATTTTCGTTAATTGCATAATCTTGCCGATGAATCTATTGATGTATACTTTTGCCTTTGCATATTAGAGTGCCATATGTTCGTTTAGAATTAAAATTGCTTAACACCAAGTGTTCGAGTGCTTCTTTCCCAGTCCATGCAAAACTGTCTTATTCATAAGAACTGTAGCCTGCGATGAGAAATTAATTTGGAGACCTAACATAACATAAACACACTAAGATAATCAGTAAATGTTTAATCAAAGATAATCGTTTTATCCCGATTGATACAACTCTGGACAACGAAGCTAAGCCTGATTATCATAACTGCAAACATTAACATAATCGCAAGCATCCGCATAAATTAATACGATTATCTTCATGATTATCATAATTTATGCATATATGTATATACATTAACATAATTCATGCGGATTACACATTTTTTTCACTTCATTAATTTTAATTATTTTCATCAAAATTTCATAATCCGGCATATACAACATAATGGGGGCTCGTCCGGGATTTCTTGCAGACTGTTTTGCATGGATGAAGGAATGAATCATTACGTGTTAACCAGAATATTGTGATCCAACATTGCCGTGTGATTGTAAACGGGCGTAAAACAAAAAAAACGCCCTCTGAGGTTAAACTCCAGAATAACAGGTTGGAACAAATACAGTGGGATTAAGATAATATATCGAACCGATTGCATCCTGTGATAAATGGTGTTAGAGATACGCACTCTGAATCGAAAAATAACAGAATAGCTCGAGTCAAACTGACTACATTTTCTGATACAATTGTTTTATATGTACTCTGAAAGGGAATGTCGGAGTAACTCCTGCCACACTTGAGATGTTAGGATTAGGAGGATTTTTTGAATGGATTGCAGAATACTGGGAACTTGTATTACAATGTACAGGCAGTTCTTCTACAGAACAGACAGGGCAGAGAGACATGGAAAGGGAGCTGCATCGATGACACGAACACACCCCGAGGAAAACTAATTTACTGGATAAAATGTAACGAAGGCGAACACGATGCAAAAACTGCAGAGAAGGCAGGACAGGACTCATGCCTTCCCACACAGGCATACAGACAGGGATTGTAGAATGAGGAAAAATTCGGAAAGGAAACCGGAGAGAAATCGTCTCTAATAAACGAGGAAAAATGTCCCCACACCATCGCAAGGGAGGAGAAATCAGTGCTCGCGACACCAACGAAACTCACAGACGTTGATCCACAGAATAAATATGAAAGTAGCAGTAAATCACACTCTTGGGTACGTGGACATAATCCCGGGACAGATTGCACAAAAATTATGGGTATCGATCAAAATATCCTTGACAAAGAAAATCCCTCACAATTCGAGAGAAAGGATGGAGAGATACAGATGCAAATAAAAACATGTGGGACTGACAACCTCGCAGCTATAGAGAGGCAAAATGTTAAAGTAAACTCGCCAGGAGATGCTCCACTAAGGGCAGAGGCAAAAACTGCAGGAAAATGGCGACACGAGCGACACAGCCCAGACAGTTCACCAAAAAAATGCACGACGCTAAAACACGCCCGACACAGCACAGATCAAAGTGACAGCTTGTCTGATGATAATTCGTCTGATGATGACGCTGACGACGATCAATTTTCGGAATACTCCTTCAACAGTAAAACCCTTAAATTGATGGACAAAGCTCTCGTCAGAATTCCCGATTTTGACCCACACAATAAGAACAGGGACATACACACACATCTTCTTGGTTCTTTCGGTAAAGTCACGTAGAAGGGAAGTAAAATAATAAAAATAAAACATAATAAAATAAAAAAATATAATATAATAATTATTTTATTATGTTTTATTTTTATTATTTTATTACTTCCCTTCTACGTGACTTTACCGAAAGAACCAAGAAGATGAATCCCTGCAGTCACGAAAGCTTTAAATCGAAATTTATACACACACATATCGCAACTATAGAAGAGGAGGTCTGAGGAGACGGGATGAGAAAGCGAGTCTGTTGAAAAGGAGTTTACATGGAGAATCTATACCATGGGTAAAGTCGCTACCATACAAGATTAGGAATGATTTCAAACAACTGAGCATGGCAGTGATTCGGAAGTTTGGAGAATATTCAACACTCACTGAGGGGTTTTATGCTGTAAGGCATGGATCATGATCCGCGAGATTACCTCCTCCGATTTAAAAGAGCGTTTTACGCAGGCGATGTGAATCGGTACCATGAAGGGGACCATATGTTCAAAATTATGTTTTCTGAATCCTTGAGCCCAGAGATTACAGAATGTGTGAGAATGGTTTTGAACCCAGAAACAGCCTCCTTACACCGCATAGAGAGCAAGGCGTACATGGCATGGTTATACAGAGCTCAGAATCATAATTCGGATCCAGAACACAGGGAGAGGGATAATGAACCTAGCCTCTCTGAAAGAAATAAAAATCACCGAGCAGTCCCACAATGCAGAGAGGAGCGAACACGCACGCACATATGGCAAAATAACCCAGAGAGAGGTTGGCACACAAATGAGAGTGACACAAATGGGAAAAGCACTGGGCCAAAAATGTACGAGAATCGCAGGAGGTGGAGGTTAAGAGCAGAACCATATCAGCACCCCATTCCCCGACACATGCAAGGTCAAAATTACACACACAGATGGCAAGGTAACAATCCAGGAAAAAGGTGGCACATGAATCGGAGAAACACGGGGCCAAAAATGTACGAAAATCGCAGGATGGGAGGTCAAACACAATCGGTCCAATTCCGACCGATTCCCCCACTGACTATACCAGGAGGGAATAGAGAAACAAATAATAAGGAAAAACAAATTGGCTTGACGGAGACACGAAATGCGGCACAAATACGTGATGAACCACCTGCAGTAATTGAGAGCGAGCTGCCCATACGCGCTCCACCCGCTGAGTTGAAACTAAATCCGGGGCTCATTGGAAAATGCAAGCAGGCTGCAAGTGACAGGGCGGACAAATACCGCCACGATCGGGAAACATTAAAGGCATACGATGCGTTAGGAAACGCAAGCATTGCTCCCGTAAATGACGTGCAGATCGAACGCAAAAACATGACTGCAGTGAAGGGTGATCGGACAGTAGATAACAGACAGCAGAGACAAAGAGAAAAACCGGGGCGTACAGGAAAAACAGTGCAGCACGTCGCAGGATCGCGCGAGAGATGGAACACAGAGACACGCCCTGAGGAATGCAGGCGTGAGCCTTTGAATGGAAAACATCCCAATGAAATAAAATATTATGTGGATCGGAGTGCTAAAATGGAGACGAATGTTCATGACATCGGGAATGGTGTTGGAATTTAACACACTCATAAAAACAAAGAGGGCAACATTACGAGGCACGGAATTAAATCGACACACTGACTCGGCAAATGTGGATGTAATCACAGAGAGTGCAAGTGCCACTGATAACAAAGTGCCAAAGTTGGTTGTGTGCGCGAGTTCTGGTTATGTGCAACACAATTTCACACCACACACTCCCACGACGCGAGAGAGTGATAGAGGAAATTACAAAACGAACCTGAAAACCGTGATCGAAAGATCAAAGCGATAAGCACTACGAACCAAGTTAATGATTTTGGGAGATTGCATGAAAGAGTAAAAGGTTACTCTAAAATATCTGGCCATGAGAATATTGTTAATGGACAGGAAAAGGCTATAAGCAAACCAAGTCTGAAGGACAGTGCGTGGGAAGCAGCATGTCCACATAAAACCAAAAGTGGCAAACCAGATGATAATAACTGGGTAAAAATATGGCAAGGAGGTAACAGGAGGAAAATAATGCATAAATGCGTTCGAAACCACTACCTTGCGTTTCCCAGGAACTAAAAAAAACATTTTTTATAAAAAATGTGCGTTTTTTTAATAATAAAATTTTTTTTTTTTACAGTAGTTATGATGGATAAGAACCGATGTAACATGTGGTATTGATGTTTAACATTTTGTTTTCTTTTCTTTGCTTATTTCAAATGTAACCATGCTAAGATTGTGATACGACGCACGCGTAAAAAACAGTCGAAACACGAGGGCGGCTGATGGGTTCATAATGGAAAAAAGGGGCATTTACTTTGTTTAAAAATTCGCCAGTGGCCAAATCAACCACTGATAATTTTTAAAAGGGCGGATTGTTGTATCTATGCCCTGTTTTTCAAAAAATAATATTAAGAATAACTAGGCCAACATTTTTTTATACATATAATATATATTTTTTAATTAAATAATGAAAACAGCTTCTACTCCTCACAAGCACACGAGGAATCTGTGAAACGGGGAGGTCCATTAAACGACAAGATTTCAGAGCACAGAGAGGTCAGAGACATCCAGATGGACAAAAGGTCGATGGCCTAACCTTCCCAAGACGTCTGGAGATGCACGGATAAGGTGCAGAGCAGAGAAAAACAACTATTGCAACTCGCGTTTTCTTTAACGTTTTCCTTAACGAAAAGTAGAAACTTAACAAAAAATAAAATCAACGGTATAAGACTGCAGCCTACAATAGGGGCTAGTTATTGGATATTCCCTTATATTACTCGTATTCACCGCATATATATTATTTTGTATTGTATGTTTCTATCTACATGACCTTACCAAAAACTAAAGAATACGAATTCCAGAAAGCTTAAGTGGAAACTTAGTTACACTTAACCTCAGGAAATTAAAATATAACTCAGAATAAACACCAATTCCTGGAGACAAACGCATAACCAAACTTGGCAAAGCCCTCAAAATAATGATGTAACGAGGATCATTACGAATATTCATTAAACATAGACCGAATAATAACCACGTTATACTAAGACCGAGGGAACTCATAAGAAATATCAAGAATAAATGTAACACACAGGACCATGTAAATGTATTGCAAAAATCTCCTCAGCCACCTTTGTCTCCAACGGTCCGGCACAAACAGATGGCCCCATAAATACTTAGAGGGTTAGAAAGGGTCGCGAGGAGGGGTCGCGAGGGTGTCTGGTTTTTTTTTCTTTCGGTTTGTTGTTTGTTTTCCTCTCGGAAGAGACGCGCAGAGAGGAGAGAAAAAAACACAAGCGCACATCAAGTGTGCAGTCTGGTTCGAGTCGCGCTCAGTCTTGCAACTCAGCTTGCGACGCAGCGTTGCGACGGGGCTCGCAAGGGAGCTGGGGCGAGTCGTGCCTCGAAGAGAGATGGAACGAGGAGGGGTCATTCGAGTCGCAGAAATCTGAGTTCAACCTGGGTTGAGGCTGGGTTTCAGCCGTGCTCCGGCTGGCGGAGCGTCGTGAGGGAGCAAACACCGATACCGATGGCCGGTGTCGTTTCTCGCAGAAAGAAGTGGCGAGGTGTGGTTAAGTGCGAGTGAAGCTGGCAGCTGCACGAACAAAGGAAAGCACGGAGAAGAGAGAGTGACGAGTGACAACAAGCAATCAACCTGTAGAAAGGGCGGAAATCGCCAAGCGTCGACCAAGCGAGCATCGCAAAGGACGAACAGCAGCGGATGAGCAACAAGAGCCATCGTTCATCGCCAGAGCGCTCCAAGCCGGTGAGCGCGCACAGCCACGTCGTCCATAAGCCTGAGCCAACACATCCTGAAGTAAGGGTGAGTGTCCGTGTGAAGTTGGCAGCGATCAAGGAGAGAGCGACGACGATATCATCGCGCACCGCCGAAGGCGAGCATCGTGCCGACTCAACAATCATCCGGCAGTGGAGAAGCCTGGAGCTGCCACCAAGAGAGAGAGAGCGCCATCGAATGCGCCGTGTGTTTGATACACACACACACCGACCAACACCCAGTGAGAACAGACAAGACGTCCAGCAGCGACGACGGAATCATCGCGCACCACGTCGGCGAGCGTCGTGCCAACTCGTCATCCAGCAGTGGAGAGAGCGCACGAGCAGAGACACGCCCGAGCGAGGGTGTAGCACGGGCTCGCTGCGGCCACGCCCAAGCGAGAGGAACCTCTCTGGCCGCTGGTTGTATCCTCCCCCACCCCACAAGCTCCGACACAGCGCTGTGCCTCTACTTAAAATATTAATTATCAAGGGAACAATACAACGCACACACAACACGCACACGAATAAGACTTTCAAAAAATTATCTTTGTGTTTCAAAAGGGTTGCCATTTCAAGGTGGTGCGTTCAATATCAACTGATCGTGCAAAGCAGTTGCTGCCGTCGAGTTACATGAATAAGAAGTGTTTTAGTCATTCATTTTCGTTAATTGCATAATCTTGCCGATGAATTTATTGACGTATACTTTTGCCTTTGCATATTAGAGTGCCATATGTTCGTTTAGAATTAAAATTGCTTAACACCAAGTGTTCGAGTGCTTCTTTCCCAGTCCATGCAAAACTGTCTTATTCATAAGAACTGTAGCCTGCGATGAGAAATTAATTTGGAGACCTAACATAACATAAACACAAAGATAATCAGTAAATGTTTAATCAAAGATAATCGTTTTATCCCGATCGATACAACTCTGGATAACGAAGCTAAGCCTAATTATCATAACTGAACACATTAACATAATCGCGAGCATTTGCATAAATTAATACGATTATCTCCGTGATTATCATAGTTTGTTGATATAATTATATACATTAACATAATTCATTCGAATTATGCATTTTTTTAAACATTTCATTAATTTTTATTATTTTTATCAAAATTTCATAATCCGGCATATACAACAGGGGGCAGCTTTTAAATTAAAGTAAATTACCATTTTTACCAGGTAAAAGGATAAAGGGTAAAGATGTCGACATGCCAAGGGGTAAGGTAAAGGGTAGGGTAAAGGTAGCTCGAAATAATTATCCGGTAGGGTAAAAATAGCACGAAGTATTACCTGGTAAATACGGTGCCTTGTTTACCGCTAGAAGCTCCATGGTGCAGTCCGTGGCCTCCATTTAACAAGTAATATTAAAACAAACTTTATTAAAAACACGCTTTTATTAAATGTACGAGTAATGACAGAACTCCACGACCCAAGGAAGTAGCCCCGAAAATTGCCATAACGTAAGGGGCCGTGGTGATTTACAGCCAACGTCAGTTGAGCGTGGACAACTAGACCCAAGCCGAAACATAACATGTAAAAAATGATTTTATGATAGAATATAGTGTTGTCATCAGTATGACATAAGTATACCAAGTTTGCAGTCGATACCACATTAGGAAGTGGGTAAAAATTTTGTTACAAGATTTGATGATACAACAATGACGACAACGACGACGACAACAATGACAACAACAATAACGACAACAATAACAACAACAATGACAACAAGCGTGTAAAATTGGAATAATTGAGAGTATTCTATATGAATAAAGCGCTCTACCCAGCATTTACCGTTATAAACCTTGTTCATGTATAGTTCCCTAGTAATTACCCTGTAATCGGGTAATTTATATGGGATAAGAGTAAAAGGTAGGGTAAAAATAGGCTCGTTTTTACCTTTGAACTTTTACTTTACCTTGCCGAGGCCTATGTGTGTGTGTGCAGTTGGCAGAGTAGGGGGGCACAGGTGGTGCATCAGCCAGTCATCTCAGTCGAACCCGTAGCACCTGCTGGGTCTGCCCCGTGACCTCCTGCCAGCGGGCGCTCGACACTTCACGTGGCCTTAATGTGCACATTGCCTGGCACAAGCGCCGTGGTGACGTCACCGCCATTTAGTGGCGAATGGCGGTTGTGCGTAACGCTATGAACCCAGCGATCCGAGTTCAATTCCTGGTCACGGCCAACACCAGTGACGATTGATCTGAACTGGTCGTGGGCCTCCCCTAGGTCGACTCAGCCTTAAATTAGTACCTAGTGCGATGTGTTAAACATCGCGACTGAGGAGCCAAAGGCGGCTGGGCGTGGTGTAGGCGATCCATCCCCTCGTGTGCCGTGCCGGCCTTCTGTTAAGGCTGTACGGGGGGTGGGGGTCTTTGTCTCTGTGTGTGTGGGGTGCAGGTTCTATGCTGGCCTCTGGATATTGATCATCGCTGGATTTCTTGGGGTGAGAAATAAGATGCCTACTCCCCCCATCACCTCCCTGTCTCATCCCCTCTCCTTGATGAATCTCCACCTCCCATCTTGGTGTCTCCCCCGTCTCTCTTCCCCCCCCCCCGTTTCTCCTCTTCCCCCCCCCCCGTCTCTCCTCTCTTCCCCCCCCCCGTCTCTCCTCTCTTCCCCCCCCCCCCCGTCTCTCTTCCCCCCCCCCGTCTCTCCTCTCTTCCCCCCCCCCGTTTCTCCTCTTCCCCCCCCCCCAGTCTCTCCTCTCTTCCCCCCCCCCCCCAGTCTCTCCTCTCTTTCCCCCCCCCCGTCTCTCCTCTCTCCCCCCCCCCGTCTCTCCTCTCTTCCCCCCCCCCGTCTCTCCTCTCTTCCCCCCCCCCGTCTCTCCTCTCTTCCCCCCCCCCCCGTCTCTCCTCTCTCCTCCCCCCCCCCCCGTCTCTCCTCTTTCCCCCCCCCCGTCTCTCCTCTCTTCCCCCCCCCGTCTCTCCTCTCTTCCCCCCCCGTCTCTCCTCTCTCCCCCCCCCCCGTCTCTCCTCTCTTCCCCCCCCGTCTCTCCTCTCTTCCCCCCCCGTCTCTCCTCTCTTCCCCCCCCGTCTCTCCTCTCTCCCCCCCCCCCAGTCTCTCCTCTCTTTCCCCCCCCCCGTCTCTCCTCTCTTCCCCCCCCGTCTCTCCTCTCTTCCCCCCCCCGTCTCTCCTCTCTCCCCCCCCCCCGTCTCTCCTCTCTTCCCCCCCCCCCCCCCGTTTCTCCTCTTCCCCCCCCCGTCTCTCCTCTCTTCCCCCCCCCCCGTCTCTCCTCTCTTCCCCCCCCCCGTTTCTCCTCTTCCCCCCCCCCCCGTCTCTCCTCTCTCCCCCCCCCCGTCTCTCCTCTCTTCCCCCCCCCGTCTCGTCCTCTCTTCCCCCCCCGTCTCTCCTCTCTTCCCCCCCCCCCGTCTCTCCTCTCTTCCCCCCCCCCCCCCGTCTCTCCTCTCTTCCCCCCCCCCCCGTCTCTCCTCTCTTCCCCCCCCCCCGTCTCTCCTCTCTTCCCCCCCCGTCTCTCCTCTCTCCCCCCCCCCGTCTCTCCTCTCTTCCCCCCCCGTCTCTCCTCTCTTCCCCCCCGTCTCTCCTCTCTCCCCCCCCCCGTCTCTCCTCTCTTCCCCCCCCCCCCGTCTCTCCTCTCTTCCCCCCCCGCTCTCCTCTCTTCCCCCCCCCCCCGTCTCTCCTCTCTTCCCCCCCCCGTCTCTCCTCTCTTCCCCCCCCCGTCTCTCCTCTCTTCCCCCCCCCCCCCGTCTCTCCTCTCTCCCCCCCCCCCGTCTCTCCTCTCTTCCCCCCCCCCCGTCTCTCCTCTCTTTCCCCCCCTTCCATCTCTCCTCTCCCCTAACCCCCCCTCCCGTCCCGTCCCCAGCTGTTCCTGCGCTATCTGCTGGTGGCGCTGGCGGTGGCCGGTGCCAGTGCGCTGCGCTACTGTGGCTTCATGGTGTAGGACGCCCAGCAGCTGCTGCATCGCCTCTCCCCCGAGGATTACGTGGAGGGCGCCTCTCACTTTTCCTGGACCTCATCAACCTCTTCCTCTACATCCTGCGCTGCTGGAGGCCGTGCGGCGCAAGTGAGAGAGCAGGCGGCGCGGGGGGGGGGGGCATCTCTCGCTCTCTAGCTCATACACTCGCTCACCACCCAGTACACTCACCACTCGCTCACCACCAAGTACACACACCACCTAGTACACTCACCACTCGCTCACCACCCAGTACACTCACCACCTAGTACACTCGTTCACCAGTACACACGCTCACTGGCTAATACACTCGCTAGTGTACTCACCACCTAGTACACTCGCTCACTAGCTACTACACTCACCACCTAGTACACTCACCACCTACTACACTCACCACCTACTACACTTGCTTACCACCTAGTACACTCACCACCTAGTACACTCGCTTACCACCTAGTACACTTGCTAGTCTACTCACTAGCTAGTAGACTCACCACCTAGTACACTCACCACCGAGTACACTCGCTTAGTAGCTACTAGACTCACCACCTAGTACGCTCACCACCTACTACACTCGCTTACCACCTAGTACACTCACCACCTAGTACACTCGCTTACCACCTAGTACACTTGCTAGTCTACTCACTAGCTAGTAGACTCACCACCTAGTACACTCACCACCTAGTACACACGCTCACTGGCTAATACACTCGCTAGTGTACTCACTCACTAGCTAGTACACTCGAATAACCACCCAGTACACTCACTCACTAGCTACTACACTCGTTTACTGGACACTTGCTCGTCTACTCACTCGCCACCCAGTACACTCGCTCACCAGTGAGTGTACTCATTCAGCGAGCACCCGCTAGCAGCCAGCCAGTACTGCTGGTTCTCACCGGTACACCAATTCATTCAGTCATCCATTCACTCACCCACCCACTCGCCCACCCACACATTCACTCACCCACATTTTGTCTGTCTCTCACACACATTCACTCACCCACCCACACATTCACTCACCCACATTCTGTCTGTCTCTCACACAGTGTATGGAATGTGATATTTGTAAAGGAGGAGACTAATATATATGTAAATGCTATTCCTGTGCACATGTAAACCTGCAATCAATGGGAAGGTGATGGTGCTCTGTGATTTCTGTTGTTGCGGTCGTCGGGGGCGGAGGGTGGTGGGGGTGAGCTCGCGACTCCCCAGCGTTTTCCAACTCGGCTTCGCAGTGTCTGTGTGTGATGCGCGCGTGTGTGACGCCCGGTGTGATGCCTGCACTCTGATGAACGGTATGACGCACTTGATGTGAAGCACGTGCTGTGATGCCCGATGTGACGCATGCGCTGCGACGCACATGCTGTAACGCGCCCGGTGTGACGTGCCCGGTGTGACGTGCCCGGTGTGACGCGCCCGGTGTGACGCGCCCGGTGTGACGCGCCCGGGGTGACGCGCCCGGTGTGACGCGCCCGGTGTGACGCGCCCAGTGTGACGCGCCCAGTGTGACGCGCCCAGTGTGACACGCCCAGTGTGACGCGCCCAGTGTGACGCGCCCGGTGTGACGCGCCCGGTGTGACGCGCCCGGTGTGACGCGTCCGGTGTGACGTGCCCGGTGTGACGCCCGCGCTGTGATGCCCGGTTTGATGCCAGGTGCGCGTGTGACGAGCGGTGGCGACCATCCCACGCCACCAGAACCGGACACGCACGCACACACACCCACACGCGGCCGCCCCCCCCACCCTCCCTACACCTGGCAGACAAAAACCAGCGCTAAAAGTATTTGCCTTGCTGGCCAAGGTGGAGACTACGGCGGTGGCCCCCAGCGCCCGGGCAACGCCGGTTGTGGCCTCCCCACCCCATCCCCCGACTTGAGCGGCGGCAACGTTGCTCTGACATCGGCCCGACTTGCGAGTCTGCCGGTCGGGCCGGCGTATGGCCCCAAAATTTGCTCGAGCGTTGCTAGGCGCCCACCGCCCCGACATCCGAAGTCGGCCTTCGTCTCCGAAGCGCCGACAGATCTTCCCCGCCGACTCGAGACCTCTGCGTGGGCGCGCGTGGTGGTGGCGGCGGTGGTGGCGCTGGGGAATCCGTGCGTGTGCCTGGTTCTTCTTCCACCCCTACTCTGGAATGCTATTGCCAATAAACTGCAACTTGAATCACTACCTATGAGATCTTCACTCAAAACTGCTCTAGAGGAGTTGTACACCCCTAGCTGTCACTGCTATTCAGTGGCCTAGATGACCGTTGCAAAGTATTAGCTATGTTTTGATTTAGTGTGCTGATCTTAAAGGTGCATTGAAAATTTTGATACTCCGACTTATGCTCCTGATGTTGTGGAGTGACTCATGCAGCCAGCTATGGCTGCAGGGTTTGGTAATACATGTTATTGTCGTTTATTGTGAAAATTCGGTCACAGTTCCTATGATCACTGTTACATTGCTTTTATGGCTTTATTTTGGTGATTTCGAAAAGTGTTTTGGTTTGGCCATGTTTGTTTGTTGTAGTACGGAGTTAGATTGATGGCCTTAATCTAAGTTGTCTTGTGGTTGTTGTTTTTTGACTTGCATCCCACTGGGAATTTTGCACACAGCGTTGGTGTACAGTGCTTTTTTTTCTGGAATTTTTGCTGGTTTTTTTCCTGGATTTTCAGTTTGCACATAGTCACTTTAAGATGTTTTCTTGTTCATGTTTTTGTTTATTTTTGTTGCGGTTGCACCCGATTCAAGAGCCGAATGGCTCACAGGGCTATACCTAATAAATTAAACTTAAAAACCTTGAAACTTGACAACTAAACGGGGGCTCTGGATGGGTGCAAGGGGCTGGAAACCCCTCCACTTTCAATAAATTACCGCTAAACCACGAATTAAATATGTAACTAATAAGCTTGTGCCGGAGGCCCCGGGGGGACAGGCGTCTATGACGTCTCCTGGCCAAACCCCAATTGGCGGAACCAGGAGATTGAATCTTTACCCTCGGGGCTCCTCCAGAAATAACGAAAAGCCACTTCGTGTGGTCACGTGAAATGTTCGAACGCTCACTGCGGAGGAGAGGCTGCCACTCCTCTGTCAGGAGCTGGACCGGTACTGCCTGGATCTCTGTGGCATTCAGGAGGTCTGGTGGACCAACTCTGGCTCCTGCCACCATGAGGGGTGGACAGTCCTCTACTCGGGGCAGAAGACTACCAAACAACAGGGTGTGGCTCTTCTTCTGAACAAAAGAATGAAGGGGGCGTGGGAGCGTGGCGGTGAGGTGTGGGAAGCTGTAAGCCCCAGGCTACTTTGGGCTCGCCTTCCCATCAACCGGAGGCGAGCAGTGGTGGTCGTGGTTACTTATGCCCCCACCAAAGACGAACATTTGTGGAGGGATGCAGGCAAAGTCGATGAGTCAGATGCCTTTTATGACCTCTTGTCACAGGTGCTGGCTAAAGTAGCCCCTCGGGATAGAGTCATCTTGTTGGGTGACTTCAATGCCCGAGTTGGTCATGATGCTGGCACCTGGTCTGGAGTGATTGGAGGGCATGGGCCAGATCAGCTCAATAACAACAGTAGGAGGCTGCTAGATTTTTGTGCAGCCCATGGAATTGTAATTACCAACACGCTGTTCCGGCATCGGCGCATCCACACAACATCATGGATGCATGCCGGGTCCAAGCAAGAACATCTGCTGGACTACATAGTGACGGACCAGTGGATGCGAGCCCATGTCCTTGACACCCAGACCTACCGTGGAGCTGATCTGCCCTCTGACCATTGACTAGTCATCTGTAAGATGTGCCTGCCATTCTTCCACTCCGGTGGTGGGTGTACACCCAAGAAATCATTCCAACCTAAAGTGGCCTGGTCTCAGCTGATGAAAGTTGCAAGCGAGAATTTCATCATCGCTTGCAGCTGGGGTTGGCATCGTCTCCCACTCCTCCTGATGTCGAGGGTAAATGGGCGAGGTTTAGGACTGTGACTCATGCAGCTGCAATGGCTGAGAACCTGGCTGACAGAGGAGGTGTTCAGGATCTTAATTCTAGATTTAAAGGTTTCGTGACTTCAAGGATTCATACTCTTTGGTGGGTGTATGTGTTCAGGATAGTTGAGAAAAAGCAACAGGCCCACTCTTATCGGCTACAGCATCCCACGTCAGAGAATGAGGAGGCTTACCTCAGCCTTCGCTCTGAGGTTCGGAGAGCCGTGAGGCGCTGCAAGGATGGGTGGTGGTCGCGGATTGCTGAGGAGATGCAGTTTGCCTCAGTGGCCCACGATCACAAATCACTATTTAACTCCATCAAAAAAGTAACCTGCAGCGCCACACCTATTACCATCATTAAGGGAAAAAACAGTGATCCAATCTCCGACCCCCAGGAACAGATTTGCAGATTTGCTGAGCATTTCTGTGAGGTTCTGGGGGAGGGGAAATCCCTCAGCCAGGAAAACATCGTGGCACAAAGTGGGGATGACCATGCTGAGGCTGCGGTGCCTCAAATATTGGAAGAAGTCACCACCTGTGAGTGGCTGGCTGAGGTGCCATCTGTTGAGGAAGTACTGAAGGTGATCCAGAGTCTGAGACCAGGAAAGGCACCGGGCAGAGATGATTTCCCAAGCGAAATGCTGAGGGAGGGTGGCGTTTGTGCACAGACTGCCCTACATGACATCATAACCACAGTCTGGACTACTGGACGGGTACCGCAGAATTGGAAGGATGCCCTGGTGGTCCCCCTCTTTAAGAAGGGGGGACCGCACATACTGTAACAACTACAGGGGCATCTCACTCCTCAGTGTGCCGGGAAAGGTCCTGGCAAGGATTATTCAACATCGCCTTGCTAGGCACGCTGAGGAGAGGCTTGCGGAGCCCCAATGTGGTTTCAGGAAAGGGCGTGTTGTATATATAGGCCTTTTTTTCCTAAAATTAAGATTAAGAATAATTCTGCCAATATATTTTTAAATAATCAACTGCGGGGTCGCTTGGAGCACAAACAAAATGTAACCACCACCCACACCCCACCAACAGCTGCCTTTCAGAAACACAGTGCCGGAGATATAGGTAATAAAAAAAACCCTTGGTACAAAGGAAGGAGAGGGGGAAGCTCTCTAATGAGATTCTGGGGAGATCTCATCACAACTTCAAAGACCCGCCACCAAACAGGGCGGCGAATTTTTGTAGGCTATTTTAGTTAACGAAAAAAATCCGACAATTAGCGACCAGAATAAGAATATAACATAGACTGTCAACGTACTCAACCAGATTAAAAACCAGACTGCAGCCACATTGGTGGCCTTAGAGTTACTAATTACCTGATTTTACTCTGATTCACCTCACATATGGTTTCTTGTTAGATCTTGCTATCTACGTGACCTTACCTAAAACCACGGAATACAAATGTCAACAGTCAAGGAAGCTTAAGTGAAATCTTAGTTACATCTAACCTCAGGACATCAAAAAAATTTACTCGAGTAAAACAGCACAATCCCTGGATACAGATAGAGAACAAAGGTTAATAAAACCCTATGAATATACGTGGTAATAACTGCTAAATCACAAATCTTGAATTAACACAAACCAAATAATAATTTTGAAGTATTAGACCAAGGGTCATCCAGAAGAATAAAAGGTGAAATAAGTCAATCATACCTAACCAAGATGTAATGTATTCCATAGGAAAAGAGCCTCCCAACTGCATTTGTCTTCCCACAGGACGTGATAGCAAAGAATGTAACACCCAGATGACGCCAAAAAGGCGCACTTGGTCCAACCCTAGGCTCTAAGGAAAGCTGTCTCGGGTGTGGACCAATCAACTTCAAGGACAGTGCATATCATTATCAGAGTTATGTCTTTTGTTTGCATTATGACTGCAGGTATTGCGGTCTATGCAAACATGACTCCTTGTAAAAAGGTGTCAGTTTTGTTGCCAGATAGAAGGGTAAACAACCAATTATCACAATTACGAGTTTTGAGAGTGAATGCCAGCAGACATGCAGCTGCAGCTCCAGTTGAACTGATGAGCGACGAGAGCAATCGTGCATCGCCAGAGAGCACGGAGCAGGAGAGAGAGCGCACAACCAGCGCCACCAAGCAAGAGTGTCGGCACCGGCAACCAGCGGACGAGCGACGAGAGCCATCGTGCATCGCCAGAGAGAACGAAGCAGTGGAAAGAGCCTGATCTAGTGCAGCCCTGAAGTAAGGGCGGGTGTCCATGTGAAGCTGGCACCTGCACGATCAAAGAGAGAGCACGGAGCAGTGTAAAGAGCCAGACTAGCCGCCCGTGAGCAAGAGTGTCGGCGCCAGCGAGAGCGCCGTGGGTTCGACTCGCACACACCGACAAGCACCAGCTAAGGAGCAGCGATCAGCAGACGAGCTGCGCGCGCTATCTGACGACGGAATGATCGCGCACCGCCGACGGCGAGCGTCGTGCCGACTCGTCATCCAGCATCGGACAAGCAACATTGTTCCAGCTGCCGCCGAGCGAGAGAGAGAGCAACACGTTGTTTGTATGCCCCTCCCCCACCCTCACAAGCTCACGACGCATCGCCCGGCGTCTGCTTAACACAAATAATTTATCAAGGGGACAATCCACACACACCATTGCTCCAAGACATTTCGTTAATTGTATAATCTAGCCGATGAATCTATTGATGTATACTTTTGCCTTCGGGATATAATAATTTGCTTTTTATTGCCTTTCGTATGAATATCGTTGCATGTGTAGGATTCTTACTGACGCGACAACTTCTTTGTCTTTCTCATTCCTTTTATTCCGCATATAGTTCACATCTCCGACAGCATCGCTCAATGTTCCTCCATACTCTTCAATGCACCATTTCCCATCAACCCCACTCGACGTCCCTCCGTTCGCTCGTTCCGCTCTGCCGCTTCGCTCGCTCTCTCTCCACCAAGGTCCGTTACTCCGCTGTTTCGCTACGGTGTCCTCGCTCCGTCCTTGCTACTCTGTCCGTACTCTCTATATCCACTGCTACCTTATACTGTATTCTCTTTGTCCACTGCTACCTTATACTATACACTCTTATCCACTGCTACCTTATACTATACTCTCTGTTGCTCCGTCTCTGTCCCAGGCACCGTCTCCAGCTCCGACTCCAACCCTCACAAAATGACTCCCGTCTCTCCGCTACGCTCTCCCTTTATCCCCGAACCAATTAGTCCAAATTAGTTGTCATCCCCCGCTCCTCCCTTCGCCCCCATGGCCCCCAGCCTCACGTGATGTCACGTGATGTTGTTTTCCGTAGACACTTACCCTCTTGACCAATCACCGGCCTGCGTCCTCAGTTACCCTTAACACCTGTGGCGTCTCTTAATGACCTCATCCCTTAATTGGCGCAACAACAACTGTATGTCCTCAGTTGCCCCCACTGTCCGTTGCACGCTCGCATCGCAACCAACCGCGTGGCGCGTGTCATCTCAGGTCCTACACATGCATGTTTTAAGGACTTTCCCCTATCGCCGTATATGCTCGCGTTACTCGGTGGAATTAATCAATTGTTCGGTTGTCCAGTTTGACAACGTAACCATTGATGGTTAAATGTACGGATCAATGAGGGGAATTTCCCCAGTAGAACTGTGTTGATAATTCCAAGCACAAGAGTTCGCATATTAGAGTGTTATGTTTTTGTTTAGAAATTAAAATTGCTTAACACAGTCTGAGTGGTTCCTTCCTGAGTTCATGCATAATAATCTCAATTATGAGAACTGTATCCTGCGGTGAGAGTTGAATTCGGAGACCTGATAAGCACATTAAGACTTAATCCGTAAATGTTAAAGCGAGAATAATTGTATTATCCCGATTGATAATACAACCCTAGACAACGAAGCCGAGCTTAATTTAGCATAATTACACCACACTTGGATAACTTTATACAACTCATTGTATTATCCCGATTGATAATGACCCTAGACAACGAAGCTAAGCCCAATTAAAATAACTGCATACATTAGTATAATCGCATACATTTGCATAACTCAATAGGACCACATCCATATTTAGCATAATGTATGCGCATAATTACATAAATGAGCTTATTATCGGATACTTACACATTCTACCAATCTTCAATTAATTTTTTTAAATTATTTTTCTAAAACCGACATATACAACATAATGGGGTTGGCTCGTCCGGGATCTCTCGCAGACAGTTTGTGCATGATTTAAGGAATGAATCACTGTTGTGTTAACCAGAGTATTGTGAACTAACATTGCCTTGTGATTGTTAACGGGCGTAAAACAAACAAAAAACGCCCTCTGAGGTGAAATTCCAGAGTAGCTCGAGTCAAACTGACTGCATTCTGTGATACAATTGTTTTTTTATATGCACTCTGAAGTGGAATACCAGAGTAGCTTATGCCACACATGAGATGCTAGTGTAATAAAAGGACTCAGACACTTCTTTCTGACTTCGTGTCCTTTATTGGGTTCTTGTCTTCTCCCACACGGCACTCTGTTATAACACTGTATTTGTAGCCCCCGGCTGTTATCGCTATTATAGCTTCCTCTCTCTCTCCCCGCAGACTCTCTGCCTCGTCTACTGTGACCTCCGTTCTCTCCCTGCAGACTCGCTGCTAACAATCTATGCAGACCCCCGCTGCTAACCCTATATGCAGACCCTCTTGGTTGCTACTCTGTATGCAGACCCGCTGCCAACTCTGTATGCAGCCCCGCTGCTGACTGCAGCCTCCTCGCTGCTTCGGGTCGGTCACCGCTGGCCAACGGTGCTGATCCTCGTTCCCCTGTGTTCGTGGCGATCTCGCCACCCTCCGCTTCGCCCTTCGTGGCCTCTCCCGTTCCTGGTCCCCCGTCACTCCCTTTCCTCTTCCGGTTCTCCTCCCTCTATAGCTTAACCCCTCTCCCCCGCGTGACCTAACTCCTCCCCTCCTGCTGTCACTTCCGGAGGGCCGTTTACGCCCGCATTACACTAGGATTAAGAGGAATTTTTGAATGGATTGCGGAATACTTGGAACTCGTATTAAAACGTACAGGTCGGTCTGCTACAGAGCAGACAAGGCAGATAGACGCAAGGGAGGGGAGCTGTATCGATGACATTGAGACACATCGAGAGGAACTACTTAAGGACTGGATAAAATGTGACAAAAGTGAAAATGATGTAAAACTCGCAGAAATAGCAAGACAGGACTCATACCTTCTCGTAGACAGACAGATTGTGGAATGAGGAAAAATTCGAAAAGTAAACGGACGAGAAACTGTCTCTGATAGACGAGGTAATATGTCCTCCCACCCTCGTAAGGGAGAAGGAATCAGTGCTCGCGACACCAGCCACACTCACAGACGTTGATTCACAGAACAAATACGAAGGTAGCGGTACACCACATTCTTGGGTATGTGACCGTAGTCCTGGAACAGACTACACAAAAAGTATGGTTATCAATCAAAATAACTTTGACACAAAAGCCCCCTCACAACTCGAGAGAAGGGATGGAGAAATACAGATGCAGTAGGCAACAAGTGGGACGGACAACCCCGAAGTCAGAGGGAGACAAAATCTTAAAACAAAGTTGCCAGAATATGCTGTACTAATAGCGCCAGAAAGGGCGGAAACTTGGCAACACGAGCAGGACAGCAGAGACAGCTCACTAGAAAGACGCACACCACTCAAACACGACCGACACAGCACAGATAGCAGGGACAGCCCTCTAGAGAGACGCAGGCTACGCAAAAACCACCAACACAAAACAATCCGCACTGCAGGTGACAGACACAGACATCACGACAGGCACGAGGCACGAGCCAAATATAAATCAAGCATCAAACAAGGACCTCGGAACGCAAGCGCCACACCTAGCAGACACCATACACACAGTATGCGACAGGAAAGCTGAGCTCAAAAACACCACATAAGCACAGGCCAAAGGGACAACACACACCGACCCATAGACAAGGATCACAAGACCAACATAGGAAACCTAAGGAACACGGGACAGGCAGGAATTACCGAACAAAGTTGACCCACGTTACAGGCGCAAAATACACCACAGAAGTTATACAGGTAGGAACAATGCTCCACACTGCCCACCAGGGATTTATTGTCTGTCTGTAAGACTGTCTGTCTGTCGTGCATAAATAAATATTAAATAAACACAGCTCTTTGATTGGTGGAGACCTTACAAACAGCTCTTTGATTGGTGGAGACCTTACAAACAGCTCTTTGATTGGTGGAGACCTACTGCCGGGTACGGAGAGGGGAGGTGCCTAAGGGAGGAGGGTCAGGGGAGGGGCCTAAGGAAGGGGGGAGTCAGGAGAGGGGCCTGAGTGGGGGGGGGGGGGGTAATGAGAGGTGCCTAAGGGAGGGGCCGATAGTTAAGGGGGCTGTCTGCCTGGCTACCTCAAGTCAAGTTATCTTGTACACAGGTAGGAACAACAGGTTCCACACTGCCCACCAGGTATGAGTTGTCTGTCTGTCGTGCACGAATGCGCTGTCCAACCAAGTTCCTACCTGCCCACTCCGAAGGAACGTGTTTTTAAGCAGCGCCACAATTGTAGTGATAGCTTATCTGACACTGACTCCTCTGACGACGACCAACTTTCCGAATACTCGTTCAGTAGTAAGACTCTGAAATGGATGGACAAAGCTCTCGTCAGAATTCCATATTTTGATCCACACAATAGGAACAGAGATATACACACTCATATCGTAACAGTAGAAGCGGAGACAATGATCAGAGGTCTGAGCGGAAGGGATAAGAAAGCAAGTTTTCTGAAAAGAAGTTTACATGAACATTCTATACCATGGGTAAAGTCGCTACCATACAAGGTTAGGAATGATTTCAAACAACTGAGCCTGGCAGTGATTCGGAAGTTTGGAGAATATTCAACACTGTCTGAGGGGTTTAATGCTGTCAAATCGATGACCCAGTGCGTAGACGAGTATCCGCGAGATTACCTCCTACGATTTAAAAGAGCCTGGCAGTGATTCGGAAGTTTGGAGAATATTCAACACTGTCTTGAGGGGTTTAATGCTGTCAAATCGATGACCCAGTGCGTAGACGAGTATCCGCGAGATTACCTCCTACGATTTAAAAGAGCGTACTACTCAGGCGATGTGGATCAGTACCAAGAAGGTGACAAAATGTTCAAGATTATGTTTTTTGAATCCTTGAGTCCAGAGATTACAGAAATTGTGGGAATGGTTTTGGACCCAGAGACGACCTCTTTACACCGCATAGAGAATAGGGCTCACATGGCATGGCTATATAGCACTAGGAGCCATAATTCGGATCCAACACACAGGGAGAGGGATAATGAACCCAGCCTTTCAGAGGGAAATAAAAATCACGTGAGCAGCTACAGCATCCCACATGTGAGACATTTAATGCACCAAGCCCCACAATGCAGAGAGGAGCAAGCACCCACGAGCTACCAACATAATTACACACAGATGGCAAGGTAACCATTCAGCGAGAGAGTGGCACACAATTTCGATTTAAAGCTTTCGTGACTGCAGGGATTCATCTTGGTTCTTTCAGTAAAGTCACGTAGAAGGGAAATAATAAAGTAATAAGTATAAAACATAAAATAAAATTCTCACGACGTTTCGGCCACAACGCAAGCAGCCGTCCTCAGGTGAAGAACAGGTCTGTCGGAAAGACAGCGTCTGAATGAACACCACCAGGCTTGGCAGAGTATATTTATGCTGGGTTAGGGGATGAAGAGCGCCTTGACAAAGGAATTTGCATATCAACAGAGGAATTTAGCATATTTATGGTTGATATGCAAATTCCTTTGTTAAGGCGCTCTTCCTCCCCTAATGTCTGACCCCCCCCCAGGTGCGTGACGTCATTTATGGACGGCCCCTTAGAGAAGGAGTCGTACCCCCTGGCTCTACCAGGTTGCAGGGGGTCCAGCAGTAAATGTGTGTGGACTAATCCCCATCTGTTCCATCTCACTCCCTCCTACACCCGTGGGTGGGTGGTACAGTAGCAGTGTGTGTGGACTAATCCCCATCTGTTCCATCTCACTCCCTCCTACACCCGTGGGTGAGTGGGTGGTATAGTAGCAGAGTGTGTGGACTAATCTACATCTGTTCCATCTCACTCCCTTCTACACCCGTGGGTGGGTGGGTGTTACAGTAGCAGAGTGTGTGGACTAATCTCCATCTGTTCCATCTCACTCCCTTACACACCCGTGGGTGGGTAGGTGGTACAGTAGCAGAGTGTGTGGACTAATCTCCATCTGTTCCATCTCACTCCCTTACCCGTGGGTGGGTGGGTGGTACAGTAGCAGAATGTGTGGACTAATCTCCATCTGTTCCATCTCACTCTTCAACACCCGTGGGTGGGTAGGTGGTACAGCAGCAGAGTGTGTGGACTAATCTACATCTGTTCCATCTCGCTCCCTCCTACACCCGTGGGTGGGTGGTACAGTAGCAGAGTGTGTGGACTAATCCCCATCTGTTCCATCTCACTCCCTTCTACACCCGTGGGTGGGTGGTACAGTAGCAGAGTGTGTGGACTAATCCCCATCTGTTCCATCTCACTCCCTTCTACACCCGTTGGTGTGTGGGTGGTACAGTAGCAGAGTGTGTGGACTAATCTACATCTGTTCCATCTCGCTCCCTCCTACACCCGTGGGTGGGTGGTACAGTAGCAGAGTGTGTGGACTAATCTCCATCTGTTCCATCTCACTCCCTTCTACACCCGTGGGTGGGTGGTACAGTAGCAGAGTGTGTGGACTAATCCCCATCTGTTCCATCTCACTCCCTTCTACACCCGTGGGTGGGTGGGTGGTACAGTAGCAGAGTGTGTGGACTAATCCCCATCTGTTCCATCTCACTCCCTTCTACACCCGTGGGTGGGTGGTACAGTAGCAGAGTGTGTGGACTAATCCCCATCTGTTCCATCTCACTCCCTTCTACACCCGTGGGTGGGTGGTACAGTAGCAGAGTGTGTGGACTAATCCCCATCTGTTCCATCTCACTCCCTTCTACACCCGTGGGTGGGTGGTACAGCAGCAGAGTGTGTGGACTAATCCCCATCTGTTCCATCTCACTCCCTTCCACACCCGTGGGTAGGTGGTACAGTAGCAGAGTGTGTGGACTAATCCCCATCTGTTCCATCTCACTCCCTCCTACACCCGTGGGTGGGTGGGTGGTACAGTAGCAGAGTGTGTGGACTAATCTCCATCTGTTACATCTCACTCCCTCCTACACCCGTGGGTGTGTGGGTGGTACAGTAGCAGAGTGTGTGGACTAATCTCCATCTGTTCCATCTCACTCCCTTCTACACCCGTGGGTGGGTGGTACAGTAGCAGAGTGTGTGGACTAATCTCCATCTGTTACATCTCACTCCCTTCTACACCCGTGGGTGTGTGGGTGGTACAGTAGCAGAGTGTGTGGACTAATCTCCATCTGTTCCATCTCACTCCCTTCTACACCCGTGGGTGGGTGGTACAGTAGCAGAGTGTGTGGACTAATCCCCATCTGTTCCATCTCACTCCCTCCTACACCCGTGGGTGGGTGGTACAGTAGCAGAGTGTGTGGACTAATCTCCATCTGTTCCATCTCACTCCCTTCTACACCCGTGGGTGGGTGGTACAGTAGCAGAGTGTGTGGACTAATCTCCATCTGTTCCATCTCACTCCCTTCTACACCCGTTGGTGTGTGGGTGGTACAGTAGCAGAATGTGTGGACTAATCTCCATCTGTTCCATCTCACTCCCTTCCACACCCGTTGGTGTGTGGGTGGTACAGTAGCAGAATGTGTGGACTAATCCCCATCTGTTCCATCTCACTCCCTCCTACACCCGTGGGTGGGTGGGTGGTACAGTAGCAGAGTGTGTGGACTAATCTCCATCTGTTCCATCTCACTCCCTTCCACACCCGTTGGTGTGTGGGTGGTACAGTAGCAGAGTGTGTGGACTAATCTCCATCTGTTCCATCTCACTCCCTTCCACACCCGTGGGTGGGTGGTACAGTAGCAGAGTGTGTGGACTAATCCCCATCTGTTCCATCTCACTCCATTCCACACCCGTGGGTGGGTAGGTGGTACAGTAGCAGAGTGTGTGGACTAATCCCCATCTGTTCCATCTCACTCCCTTACACACCCGTGGGTGTGTGGTACAGTAGCAGTGTGTGGACTAATCCCCATCTGTTCCATCTCACTCCCTTACACACCCGTGGGTGGGTGGGTGGTACAGTAGCAGAGTGTGTGGACTAATCCCCATCTGTTCCATCTCACTCCCTTCTACACCCGTGGGTGGGTAGGTGGTACAGCAGCAGAGTGTGTGGACTAATCCCCATCTGTTACATCTGCACGGGATTGAGTGTTTCCCCCTCGCTCGCGTTTCTTGTCATTGAACCAGATACTTCATAGGACATCAGAATAAATAATGATAATGAATCCTCGAGCTGTGACGGTTCCACCTGAAGATGGAAGCTTGTGTTGCCTCCGAAACGTCGTGATTTTTATTTTACTTTTATTTTAAAAATGTTTTACCTACGTGACTTTACCGAAAACCTAAGAATATAAAGAAAAACGTATATTACGTAATGTGTTGATGCTATTATTATGTTGTGCAGCGCAGTACGTAGTTATAATACAGAAATATCTATAATAAATTTACATTATGTTAATTTAATGTTGATGAACATTATATCACTTCATGTTAATGTAACCAACATTAATGTATTATATTAATTTAGACATCGTAATATTGCATAACGTTCATTTAACCAACACAATAGAACGTAAAGTTAATTTAACCAACATTATATTGCATTATGTTAATTAAAAACAAATATATTGTATTATGTGAATTTAATACAAATAATTTTATGGTATTTTTTTTTCAACACTGTTAATTTTTTGTTAATTGGTCAATTATGTTAATAGAACCACCTCCACAAAACCACTTCTGTATATATTATGTTAATTTATTCTACATTTCATCGAATTATGTTAATTATATTAGTCCCACCCAAATCTACCTGCAGCTATTAAATTTCACTAACGCTCCAGGGGCATCTTTAACACAGAGATGGGCTCCTGGTGCCCTCGTAATTAACGTTACCGATTGCCCTGAGGGCATTTTGTATTTCCAATTTGTTCCATCGTTTTTCTGCCGCTCGCCCCAACCACCACGTAAACACAAGAACCGAGACGTTTGAATCGATTCCCCGATTGCAGATTTTGTAGGAATCGATTCGCACCTCCTACGCCTCCAAACCCGATTCGTCAAACAAGCGGGAGAGGAATCGATTCCCCCGGTTCTGTGTCAAATCGATTCGAGGAATCGATCCTAGCGAGGCCAGTTTCGTTTCCCGTCACGACTCGGACCAATTAGCTAAGCTACGTGTTAATTAGCTAAGCTAACCGATGTGTTAATTGGCTAAGCTAACGGCGTGTTAATTAGCTAAGCTACTGGGACCAATTAAAGCCGCTGTCTCTTCTGCTAATTGAGAGGTCGGGCCGAGAAGCTTTAGGCGCTAAAATAGGCCTCAACCGCGAGCCTTCGCTAACGATTTGTTGAGGTAATTGTTGTTGTTGTTGAGGTAATTGTTGTTGTTGAGGTGATTGTTGTTGTTGTTGTTGAGGTAATTGTTGTCGTTGTTGAGGTAATTGTTGTTGTTGAGGTAATTGTTGTTGAGGTAATTGTTGTTATTGAGGTAATTGTTGTTGTTGTTGAGGTGATTGTTGTTGTTGAGGTAATTGTTGTCGTTGTTGAGGTAATTGTTGTTGTTGTTGAGGTAATTGTTGTTGTTGAGGTGATTGTTGTTGTTGTTGTTGAGGTAATTGTTGTCGTTGTTGAGGTAATTGTTGTCGTTGTTGAGGTAATTGTTGTTGTTGAGGTAATTGTTGTTGAGGTAATTGTTGTTATTGAGGTAATTGTTGTTGTTGTTGAGGTGATTGTTGTTGTTGAGGTAATTGTTGTTGTTGTTGAGGTAATTGTTGTTGCTGAGGTAATTGTTGTTGTTGAGGTAATTGTTGTTGTTGTTGAGGTGATTGTTGTTGTTGAGGTGATTGTTGTTGTTGAGGTAATTGTTGTTGTTGAGGTAATTGTTGTTGTTGAGGTAATTGTTGTCGTTGTTGAGGTAATTGTTGTTGTTGAGGTAATTGTTGTTGTTGAGGTAATTGTTGTTCTTGTTGAGGTGATTGTTGTTGCTGAGGTAATTGTTGAGGTGATTGTTGTTGCTGAGGTAATTGTTGTTGAGATAAGTTGAGGTAATAGTTGGAATTGTTGAGTTAATTGTCGTTGAGTTGTTGAGGTAATTGTTGTGGAGGAAATTGTTGAGTTAATTGTTGAATTCATTGTTGATGTAATTGCTGTTGTTGAGGTATTCGTCGTTGAGTTAATTGTTGAGGCAATTGTTGTTGGGGCAATTGTTGTTGAGGTAGTTGTTGAGTTAATTGTTGAGGTAATTGTTGAGTTAATTGTTGAGGTAATTGTTGTTGGGGCAATTGTTTTTGAGGTAGTTGTTGAGGTAATTGTTGAGTTAATTGTTGGGGCAATTGTTGTTGGGTCAATCGTTGCTGAACTAATTGTGGCTTTGCATCGTCCCGGGTCACCGATTCACCGAGAAGGCGGCGGCGGCGACGGCGAAGATTGAGGCGATGGAGGCGATGACCTCTGACCTGGAGAATGACTTCTGCTACGGGACCAACGTGGCGACTGCCCACGTCTCCATCCGCATGGGTGAGTGGTCACGGTGAGGTCACCACGCTGGCCGTGTCGGTGAGGTCATCACGGTGAGGTCATCACGGTGGCCGTGTCGGTGAGGTCATCACGGTGGCCGTGTCGGTGAGGTCATGACGCTGGTCGTGTCGGTGAAGTCATCACGGTGGCCGTGTCGGTGAGGTCATCACGGTGGCCGTGTCGGTGGGGTCATGACGTTGGTCGTGTCGGGTGAGGTCATCACGGTGACCGTGTCGGTGGGGTCATGACGCTGGCCGTGTCGGTGGGGTCATCACGGTGACCGTGTCGGTGAGGTCATCACGCTGGCCGTGTCGGTGAGGTCACGACGCTGGCCGTGTCGGTGGGGTCATCACGGTGGCCGTGTCGGTGGGGTCATCACGGTGGTCGTGTCGGTGAGGTCACGACGCTGGTCGTGTCGGTGGGGTCATCACGGTGGCCGTGTCGGTGGGGTCATCACGCTGGCCGTGTCGGTGAGGTCATCACGGTGGCCGTGTCGGTGAGGTCATCACGGTGGCCGTGTCGGTGGGGTCATCACGTTGGTCGTGTCGGTGAGGTCATCACGGTGAGGTCATCACGATGGCCGTGTTAGAGTCGCTGAGAGTTCAGGTTGTCTCACAGGGGGTTATTAATGGCCGGTTGGCTGCTGCTCGCTAATAACTCTCTCGCCTGGGATACAGGAGGTCGTGGGTTCGATCCCGACCCTGACGCCTGCTGCTGTATATTTGGAGTTTGCGTGTCTCTCTCTCTCATCATCATCACGGTGGCTAGGAGATGTTAACTCCCTCGCGTGGTCTACAGGAGGTCGTGGATTCGATCTCAACCCTGACACCTGCTGCTGTATATTTGGAGTTTGCGTGTCTTTCTCTCATCATCATCACGGTGGTTAGGAGATGTTAACTCCCTCACCTGGTATACAGGAGGTCGTGGGTTCGATCTCGACCCTGATGCCTGATGTACATTTGGAGTTTGCGTGTCTCTCTCTCATTATCATCACGGTGGCGAGGAGATGTTAACTACCTCGCCTGGGATACAGGAGGTCGTGGATTTGATCTCAACCCCCTGACGCCTGCTATATATTTGGAGTTTGCGTGTCTCTCTCCCTGTGGTCGCGTGGATTTTTCTCCGGGTCCTCCGGTTTTCCCCTCCACATCTAGAATCAACTGAAGTTGATTGGTCCACACCCGAGACAGCTTTCCTTAGAGCCTAGTCTCCATTGGTGTTGGACCAGATGACGCCAAAAGGCGTACGTGCATATCATTGTCATCATCATCATCAGAGTTGTTTCTTTTTGTTTGCATTTTGACTGCTTGTGTTGCGGTTATTGCAAACATGATGCCTTGTATAAAGGTGTCAGTTTTGTACCAGTTGAAAGGGTAAAAACCTACTACTATATTTTGCTTCCAACATTATCCAGCGGTCCGAGGCCGATCCGGCAAAACCGTTTCAAAGGCTGTCGGCACCATGTGTGCGTGACAAAACAAAGTAGCTACGCTTGAATTAGGTGTCAAATACTTTTTCCGGTACATGATACACTACATACAACTTAAACAATACTGTACGTGTATACACACCACCCCACGATGCAAAAGTCTTCCAGATTGGAGTGGAGAGTATGGTGCAGTAAGCGCAGTCACTTTTTTTTACAGGAGGATATTTATTTTTGTCTGCTTGCATGTTTATCCGTGCCAATTTCGTGTTGTAAACGAATTTGAAATGCTACGAGAGAAAAAAACATTCAACAACACCAGAAAATTGATTTAAAGCTTTCGTGACTGCAGGAATTCATTTTCTTGGTTCTTTCAGTAAAGTCACGTAGAAGGGAAGTAATAAAATAATAAAAAATATATGTTTTTTTATTATGTTTTACTTTTATTATTTTATTACTTCCCTTCTACGTGACTTTACCAAAAGAACCAAGAAGAAAAATGAGCACGTCAATGATGTACGACGACGTGTGGTACGGTACGCAAGCTTGAATCTTTTGTCTTTGGCTCGCGTTCCCGCAGGCTTCCTGCGCAAGGTCTACGCCATCCTCTCGGTGCAGATCCTGCTCACGGTGGCCGTGGCGGCGCTCATGGACTGGAGCGATGTCGTCGAGGACTTTGTTCAGAAGAAGTGAGCCACTGCTCCCTCCTTTAAACGTCGGCGGCGGCGTCATCAGCGTCGTCATCGTTGTCGTCATCGTCGTCATCATCATCATGATCGTCGTCATCGTCATGATCGTCATCATCGTCATCATCGTCGTCGACATCGGCAGAATTATTATCAGCAGCAGAATCATCGTCATCATCTTCGTCGCCATCAGCAGAATTATTGGCAGAATTATTATGAACATCATCATCATGATTAGCATTGTCGTGTTTCTCCTCCCCGTTTCTCCCCGCGTGTCTCCCCGCGTGTCTCCCCGCGTGTCTCCCCGCGTGTCTCCCCGCGTGTCTCCCCGCGTGTCTCCCCGCGTGTCTCCCCGCGTGTCTCCCCGCGTGTCTCCCCGCGTGTCCCCACGCGTGTCTCCCGCGTGTCTCCCCGCGTGTCCCCCACCGTGTCTCCCCGCGTGTCTCCCCGCGTGTCTCCCCGCGTGTCCCCGCGCGTGTCTCCAGCTCGTGGGTGATGCTCATCTCCTGCGTGCTGTCCATAGGGTTGCTGCTTGCCCTCTTCGCCAAGCGTCGCAATCACCCCACCAACCTCATCCTCCTCTTCGCTTTTGTGAGTTCGCCACGGCCTGGTTGGCAGGTTCATAATGGCCGTGTCAGTACCTTCATGGAGAACCACAGAGACCCACAGACTCGCACAGAGACCCACAGACTCGCACAGAGACCCACAGACTCGCACAGAGACCCACAGACTCGCACAGAGACCCACAGACTCGCACAGAGATCCACAGACTCGCACAGAGATCCACAGACGCACACAGAGACCCACAGACTCGCACAGAGACCCACATACTCACACAGAGACCCACAGGCTCACACAGAGACCCACAGACTTGCACAGAGATCCACAGACGCACACAGAGACCCACAGACTCGCACAGAGCCCCACAGGCTCACACATAGACCCACAGACTCGCAGAGACCCACAGGGCCGGATCAACCCAGCACAGCGCTAACCATCGCACCGTGATGCTTCATCATCGTTATTCTTAATTATTTTTGGATCACCTTGGTGGTGGAGGTTTTGTTGGTGTGGTGTTGGTGGTGTTGGTGGTGTTGGTGGTGTTGGTGATGTTGTTGATGTTATTTTTGTTGGTGCTGGTGGTATTGAGGGGACGCCCCGAGTGAGCCGCGTTGACTCTGTGCTGCGTTTATTTTCCTGCAGACTCTGGTGGAGGCGTTCACGCTGGGGGTTGTGGGTAAGTGGCATCTGTGCCGCCCTGTGTGTGTATAGGTACATGTGTGTGTGTGTATACGTACGTGTGTGTGTGTGTATACGTACGTGTGTGTGTGTATACGTACGTGTGTGTATATGTCTCTTGGCCAAACCCCATTTGGCGGAGCCATGAGACTGAACCCTTAGCCTCGGGGTTCCTCCAAAAACAGCAAAAAGCCATTTCGGGTTGCCACGTGGAATGTTCGAATGCTCATTGCGGAGGAGAGGTTGCCTCTCCTCTGTCGGGAGCTGGACCGGTACCGCCTGGATCTCTGTGGTATTCAGGAGGTCCGGTGGACCGGCTCTGGCTCCTGCCACCATGAGGGGTGGACAGTCCTCTACTCGGGGCAGGAGACTGTCAAACAACAGGGTGTGGCTCTTCTTCTGAACCAAATAATTAAGGGGGTGTGGGAGTGTGGCGGTGAGGTGTGGGAAGCTGTAAGCCCAAGGATACTGTGGGCTCGCCTTCCCATCAACCAGAGGCGAGGAGTGCTGGTCTTGGTTACTTATAAGAAGACCATCAGTGGAGGGATGCAGGAAAGGCCGATGAGTCGGATGCCTTCGATGACCTCCTGTCACAGGTGCTAGCTAAAGTCACCCTCTTGGGTGACTTTATTGCCCGGAGTCAGTCATGATGCTGGCACCTGGGATGGAGTGATTGGAAGGCATGGGGCAGGTTGGAGACTGATAGACTTCCGTGGAGGCAGTCGCCCTCCAACAACAGCGGAGGGCGGAGGAGCGACGCTCACAACAACGAGCGGAGTGCCGGGTGGCTAAAGCACAGCAAGTTGGCACAGTAGGGGGCACAGGTGGTGCATCAGCCAGTCATCTCAGTCATCTCAGTCAGTCGACTCGTGGCACATGGGTCTGTCCCGTGACCTCGTGCCAGCGGGCGTTCGACACTTCACGTGGCCTCAACGTGCACAAAGCCTGGCACAGGTGCCGTGGTAATGTCACCGCCACTTAGTGGCGAATGGCAGTTATTTTGTTGTATCTCTGTATGTATATTTCTGTGTGTGTATCTCTGTGTCGGTGTGCAGTGACATTCTACGACCACGTCGTGGTGTTCCAGGCGTGCGTCCTCACGGCCGCCGCCTTTGTGGGCCTCACCGTCTACACCCTGCAGACCAAGAGGGACTTCAGCCGCATGGGGACCGGGTGAGTTCTGGCCCAGTCCACCCAGGGGGAGGCCAGTCCGTCCGCCAGTCTGCCCATCCACCGACCCGCCCGCGGCGCTCGCTACGATGGAGTGTCGATTGTAGCGCTAACCGTACCGCCACTGCTCAGGGGGTGGGTTGGGGTGTGGGGGGGGGGCAGCTTTAATTGTGTGGTGATGCTAACCACTGTGTGTGTGTGTGCAGTTGGCACAAGTAGGGGGGCACGGGTGGTGCATCGGCCAGTCATCTCATAATCATTCATAATCAACGTTGTTGGGTTTAGATCGCGTTATTTATAAATGTGTCGTAACCCTCCACCACCCGACACGGCCAATCAGTAAAAAAAGTGTCACGTTGACAAAAGATAAATAGTTCACTGCTTTAGCCCACCGGTGTGTTGAAGCGTGAAACCACAACATTTTACAATTTGAGTACGACGTTTCGCTGGTAATTGCATCCAGCATCATCGGGCGAATTGCCGGTGGGCTAAAGCAGTGAACTATTTGTGTTTTGTCAACGTGACACTTTTTTTACTGATTGGCCGTGTCGGGTGGTGGAGGGTTACGACACATTTATAAATAACGCGATCTAAACCCAAAAACGTTGATTATGAATAATATTGGTTGCGAAAGCCTACGTGTTAATCAGTCATCTCAGTCAGTGGAACCCGTGGCACCTGCTGGGTCTGCCCCGTGACCTCCTTGCCAGCGGGCGTTCAACACTTCACGTGGCCTTAACGTGCACACGGCCTGGCACAAGCGCCGTGGTGACGTCACCGCCACTTAGTGGCGAATGGCGGTTGTTGTGTCACAGGGGAGCGGTGGTGTATTGGTTAGCGCGTAGCGCTATGAGCCCGGCGACCTGAGTTTCCGGCTCACGGCCAACACCAGTGACGATTAATATGAACTGGTCCTCCCCCCTAGGTCGACTCAGCCTCAAATTAGTACCGAGTGCGATGTGTTAATCACTGGGGAGACGTGTAGCCCATCCATCTCCTCGTGTGCCGTGCCGGCCTTCTGTTAAGGCTGTATGGGTGGGGGGGTCTTTGTCTCTGTGCGTGTGTGGGGTGCAGGCTCTTTGCTGGCCTCTGGATATTGATCATCGCTGGATTTCTTGGGGTGAGCAATAAGACACCTACCCCCCCCCCCCATCAGCTCCCTGTCTCATCCCCGCTCCTTGACGAATCTCCACCTCCCATCTTGGTGTCTCCCAATAGCTCCCCTCCCCTACCCCCCCCTCCCCCCCCCATCTCTCTCCCCCCCCGTCTCTCTTCCCCCCCCCGTGTCTCATCCCTCCCCCCCTTCTCTCTCCTCCCTCCCCCCCCTTCTCTCTCCTCCCCCCCCCCCATCTCTCCCTCCCCCCCACCATCTCCCCCCCCCCCATCTCTCCCTCCCCCCCACCATCTCCCCCCCCACCATTTCTCCTCTCTCCCCCCCGTCTCTCCTCTCCGCTGGTCTAACCCCTCCCCCCCCCCGTCTCTCCCCCCCGCTGGTCTAACCCCCCCCCCCTCCCCAGCTGTTCCTGCGCTACCCGCTGGTGGAGCTGGCGCTGGCTGGCGGCGGTGCGCTTCTCTTCTGCGGCTTTGTGGTGTGGGACACCCAGCGGCTGCTGCAGCGCCTCTCCCCCGAGGACTACGTGGAGGGCGCCGTCTCCCTCTACCTCGACCTCATCAACCTCTTCCTCTACATCCTGCGCCTGCTGGAGGCGGTGCGGCGCAAGTGAGAGAGCAGGCGGCGCGCGGGGGGGGGGGGGGCATCTCTCGCTCTCTAGCTCGTACACTCACCACCCAGTACACTCACTCACCAGTACACTCACTCACCAGTACACTCAACACCCAGTACACTCACCACCCGGTACACTCACCACCTGGTACACTCACTCACCAGTACACACGCTCACCAGTACACTCACCACCTAGTACACTCACCACCTAGTACACTCACCACCTAGTAAACTCGCTCACCACCGAGTACACTCGCTCATCAGTACACACGCTCACTGGCTAATACACTCACCACCTAGTACACTCGCTCACCAGTACACACGCTCACTGGCTAATACACTCGCTAGTGTACTCGCTCACCACCTAGTACACTCACCACCTACTACACTCGCCCACCACCTAGTACACTCACCACCTAGTACACTTGCTAGTCTACTCACTAGCTAGTAGACTCACCACCTAGTACACTCACCACCTAGTACACTCACCACCTAGTAAACTCGCTCACCACCGAGTACACTCGCTCACCAGTACACACGCTCACCACCTAGTACACTCGCTCATCAGTACACACGCTCACTGGCTAATACACTCACCACCTAGTACACTCGCTCACCAGTACACACGCTCACCACCTAGTACACTCACCACCTAGTACACTCGCTCACCAGTACACACGCTCACTGGCTAATACACTCGCTAGTGTACTCGCTCACCACCTAGTACACTCACCACCTACTACACTCGCCCACCACCTAGTACACTCACCACCTAGTACACTTGCTAGTCTACTCACTAGCTAGTAGACTCACCACCTAGTACACTCACCATCTAGTACACACGCTCACTGGCTAATACACTCGTTAGTGTACTCACTAGCTAGTAGACTCACCACCTAGTACACTCACCATCTAGTACACACGCTCACTGGCTAATACACTCGTTAGTGTACTCACTAGCTAGTAGACTCGCATACCACCCAGTACACTCACTCACTAGCTACTACACTCACCACCTAGTACACTCGTTTACTGGCTAAGCCACTCGCTCGTCCACTCACTCGCCACCCAGTACACTCGCTCACCAGTGAGTACACTCATCCAGCGAGCACTCGCTAGCAGCCAGCCAGTACTGCTGTTTCTCACCGGTACACCAATTCATTCAGTCATCCATTCACTCATCCACCCGGTCTCCCACCCACACATTCACTCACCCACATTCTGTCTGTCTCTCACACAGTGTATGGAATGTGATATTTGTAAAGGAGGAGACTAATATATATGTAAATGATATTCCTGTGCACATGGCAACCTCCGCAATCTATGGGAGGGAGGGTGGGTGTGTGGGGCTCCGTGATTTCTGTTGTTGCGGTTGTCGGGGACGGGGGTGGTAGGGGGGACCTCGCGTTTTCCAACTCGGCTTCGCAGTGTCTGTGCGTGATGCGCGCGTGTGTGACTCCCGGTGTAATGCCCGCACTCTGATGAACGGTATGACGCACTTGATGTGAAGCACGTGGTGTGGTGCCGGGTTTGACGCCAGGTGCCATGCCAGGTATGACGCGCGTGTGTGTGTGTGTGTGTGCGCGTGTGTGACGAGCGGTGGCGACCGTCCCCCGCCACCGGAACCAGACACACGCGCGGCCGTCCCCCCACCACCCTCCCTACACCTGACAGACAAAAACCAGCGCTAAAAGTATTTGCCTTGCCGGCCAAGGTGGAGAGAGACTACGTCGGTGGCCCCCAGCGCCCCCCACCCCCCCCACCCCACCCCCCGACTTTAGCGGCGGCGGCAACGACATCGACCCGCCTTGCGATTGTGCCGGTCGGGCCGGCGTATTGGCTCAAGATTTGGTCGAGCCGAGATGTCTCTGTGTGGGCGCGCGTGGTGGCGGCAGGGAATCCGTGCGTATGCCTGGTTCTTCTTCCACCCCCACCCTACCCTCCTTGCCCCCCCCCCCCGGCCCCCCTCTCCCTCCCCTGGGGTGTCTTCTCTGCTTCTCTGCGTGTCGTTCTTTCGTTCTTCGGTTGCGCGGCCAAAAAACTCCGTCGCGATGGATAATTAATAATCGTATTTGTCAGTCGTGCTGCGACTGACGTGTGGCCCACTGTAGTGGCTTGGGGGGGGGGATGTGCGGACAGTATGTACAGTGCAAGCATTTTTGTACAGTGTACACAGTGCAATCAGTTTGTACAGTGCGGACAGTGCAGACTGTTTTGTACAGTGCGCACAGTGCAATCAGTTTGCGCAGACCGTGTATACAGTGCACTGTTTTGCACAATGCGTACAGTGCAACCAGTTTTGTACAGTGAAATCAGTTTGCACTGTACAAAACTCCGCACTGTACAAACTGATTGCACTGTACAACACTGTCCGCACTGTAAATCAGTTTGTACAGTGCGGACAGCGCAAGCAGTCTTGTGCAGTGCCCCCACTCCACTCTGCGTGCGTCTGGCTGCGTTTCCCTTTGGCGTGGTGGTGGTGGGGCAGGCAGAGCGCGATTGCAATGCAAGTCGCTTACAATTCCCATTGTCAGATTTGTCAATAAAATTAATGTTGGGCACTCTCTTGGTTTGTGCGTGCAGTGGTGTGTGTGGTGGTGAGTGTGCAGTGGTGAGTGTGTGTAGTGGTGAGTGTGTGTGCAGTGGTGAGTGTTTGTGTGGTGGTGAGTCTGTATGTAGTGGTGCGTCTGTATGCAGTGGTGAGTGTGTGTGTAGTGGTGAGTGTGTGTGTAGTGGTGAGTCTATATGCAGTGGTGAGTGTATGCAGTGGTGTGTGTGCAGTGGTGAGTGTGTGCGGCAAAACAACCCCCTACCTCGCGGTGCCGGACGGGCAACTCTGTCGTGGATAGTGCTGTGGGGGGAGGGCCACTGCCGATTGGCCTCTCCCCTCATGGCGTCTGTGACCACCACAGTGGCTAAACGGGGGTTCTGGACAGGTGCGAGGGGCTGGTAACCCCTCCACCTTCAATTAACCACCACTAAACTACGAATTAAACAAACCTGTAACTAATAAGCTTGTGCCGGAGGCCCCGGGGGGACAGGCGTCTATGACGTCTCCTGGCCAAACCCCAATTGGCGGCCAGGAGATTGAATCTTTACCCTCGGGGCTCCTCCAGAAACAACGAAAAACCACTTGGTGTGGCCACGTGGAATGTTCGAACACTCACTGCGGAGGAGAGGCTGCCACTCCTCTGTCGGGAGCTGGACCGGTACCGCCTGGATCTCTGTGGCATTCAGGAGGTCCGGTGGACCGGTTCTGGCTCCTGCCACCATGAGGGGTGGACAGTCCTCTACTCGGGGCATGAGACTGCCAAATAACAGGGTGTGGCTCTTCTGAACAAAAGAATAACAACGGTAGGAGGATGCTAGATTTTTGTAGAGCCCATGGGCTTGTAATTACCAACACGCTCTCCTGGCATCGGAGCATCCACACAACATCATGGATGCATGCCGGGTCCAAGCAAGAACATCTGCTGGACTACATAGTGATGGACCAGCGGATACGAGCCCATGTCCTTGACACCAGGACCTACCGTGGAGCTGATCTGCCCTCTGACCATCGACTCGTCATCTGTAAGATGCGTCTGCCATTATTCCACTCTGGTGGTGGGTGTACACCCAGGACCCCATTCCAACCTAAAGTGGCCTGGTCTCAGCTGATGAAAGTTGCAAGCGAGAATTTCATCGCTTGCGGCTGGGGTTGGCATCGTCCCCCACTCCTCCTGATGTCGAGGGTAAATGGGCGAGGTTTAGGACTGTGACTCATGCAGCTGCAATGGCTGCTTTGGGTACGTGGTCCAGACCTCCCCAGAGACCCTGGCTGACAGAGGAGGTGTTCAGGATAGTTGAAAAAAAGCGACAGGTCCACTCTCATCGGCTACAGCATCCCACGTCAGAGAATGAGGAGGCTTACTGCAGCCTTCGCTCGGAGGTTCGGAGAGCCGTAAGGCTGCAAGGATGGGTGGTGGTCGCGGGTTTCTGAGGAGATGGAGTCTGCCTAAGTGGCCCGCGATCACAAATCACTATTTAACTCCATGAAAAAAGTAACCTGCAGCGCCACACCGATCAGTAGGAGAAAAAACGGTGATCCAATCTCCGACCCCCAGGAACAGGTTTGCAGATTTGCTGAGCATTTCTGTGAGGTCCTGGGGGAGGGGAAATCCCTCAGCCAGGAAAACATCATGGCACAAAGTGGGGATGACCCTGCTGAGGCTGCGGTGCCTCAAATATTGGAAGTCACCCCCTGCGAGTGACTGGCTGAGGTGCCATCTGTTGAGGAAGTACTGAGGGCGATCCGGAGTCTGAGACCAGGAAAGGCACCGGGCAGAGATGATCTCCCAAGCGAAATGCTGAGGGAGGGTGGCGTTTGTGCCCAGACTGTCCTACATGACATCATAACAACAGTCTGGAACACTGGACGGGTTCCGCAGGATTGGAAGGATGCCCTGGTGGTCCCCCTCTTTAAGAAGGGGGACCGCACAGACTGTAACAACTACAGGGGCATCTCACTCCTCAGTGTGCCGGGAAAGGTCCTGGCAAGGATTGTTCAACATCGCCTTGCCAGGCACGCTGAGGAGAGGCTTGCGGAGCCCCAATGCAGTTTCAGAAAGGGCGGTCCTGCACAGATGCCATATTTTCTGTCCGTCTGCTACAGCAGAGGTGTAGGGAATTCCAACAAGACCTACATCTCTGCTGTGTGGATTAACCGTGGGTGGATGACTTCAACCCGGCGGGTTGAGAATTGTCCCCCAACTCACCGGCGAGGCTGTATATGAGTGGACGCGGCTTCCAGGGCGATGGATTGGAAGCGGTGACCCTCCTGGATTGCGAGTCCGGCCGCTGACGCCACCACCGCTGCCCGTGACAGTGAACACAGCGAGCGTGGCAGCACCCTCCTGAAAACAACGACGGGATCTTGAGACTCGTCAAAGCATTCCCGTGCGCCAGAGGTCGCAAACGGGTTTTGATTCCTTACCCGTACCCGGCCGCACCAGGGTCGCAAACGGGTACCCGTATCCGGCCGTACCCGGCCGGGTACGGGTAGGGTACGGGTATCGGGTACCTGATTGCGACCTCTGGGATGAAGCCATGTTGCAGGCGCGGGTGGGTTGATTCTAGGAACTTGAATTGTGAGAAGAGACAAGACGTTGGGAAATGAGTGACAAACAGTTACTCACCAGTGACTCACGGTCTACCCGTACCCGGCCGAACCAGGGTCGCCAACGGGTACCCGTACCCGTACCCGGCCGCACCAGGGTCGCAAACGGGTACCCGTACCCGGCCGGGTAGCCGGGTATCGGGTAGGGTACGGGTATCGGGTACCCGGTTGCGACCTCTGCCGTGCCCGTGTGTGTGTACGAACCCGGCGACCCAGGTTCGATTCCCCCACTCACGGCCACCAACACCACAGTGACGATTATCTGAACCGGTGCCGGGCCTCCCCTAGGTCGACTCGGCCTCAATTGAGTACCCGGTGGTGTGTGTTGACATCGCCACTACAGTCTGTTAAGACTACACGGGGGATCTTCGTCTTCATATGTATATACATACAAATGCCATTAAGCTCACGAATAATCAGCAAGTAAATAGCCAACACTTTAATAAATAAAAACATTGCAAGATGATCGTCTTTGGCACCAGCAGAATTAACCCGAGTGTCGACAGTTACAGGAATCAACGAGCGAGCGACGCTAACGAGCGACGCTAACTAACGAGCGTCACTAACAAGCGAGCGACGCTAACGAGCGACTCTAACGAGCGATGCTAACTAGCGACTCTAACGAGCGTCACTAACTAACGAGCGACGCTAACGAGCGACTCTAACGAGCGACGCGGACGAGCGACGGTAACGAGCGACGCTAACTAACGAGCGTCACTAACAAGCGAGCGACGCTAACGAGCGACTCTAACGAGCGACGCTAACTAGCAACGCTAACTAGCGACGCTAACGAGCATCACTAACAAGCGAGCGACGCTAACGAGCGACTCTAACGAGCGATGCTAACTAGCAACGCTAACTAGCGACGCTAACGAGCATCACTAACAAGCGAGCGACGCTAACGAGCGTCACTAACTAACGAGCGACGCTAACGAGCGTCACTAACTAACGAGCGATGCTAACGAGCGACGCTAACGAGCGAGCGACGCTAACTAGCGACGCTAACGAGCGTCACGCTAACGAGCGACGCTAACGAGCATCACTAACTAACAAGCGACGTTAACGAGCGACGCTAACGAGCGAGCGACGCTAACGAGCGACGCTAACGAGCGTCACTAACTAACGAGTGACGCTAACGAGCATCACTAACAAACGAGCGATGCTAACAAGCGACGCTAACGAGCGATGCTAACGAGCGACGCTAACGAGCGTCACTAACTAACGAGCGTCGCTAACTAGCGAGCGATGCTAACGAGCGACGCTAATGAGCGACGCTAACGAGCGACGCTAACGAGCGTCACTAACTAACGAGCGACGCTAACAAGCGACGCTAACGAGCGTCAATAACGAGCGACGCTAACAAGTGATCGACGCTAACGAGCGACGCTAACAAGCGACACTAACGAGCGGAGCTAACGAGCATCGCCAACAAGCGAGCGACGCTAACGAGCGTCACTAACTAGCGATGCTAACAAGCGACGCTAACGAGCGGGCGACGAGCATTGCTAAGAAGCGTCACTAACAAGCGAGCGACGCTAACGAGCGACGCTAACAAGCGACGCTAACAAGCATCACTAGCTAACGAGCGACGCTAACAAGCGACGCTAACGAGCGCACCTCTCTAACGATCTCCCTGAGCCGTTAACCCTCCCAACAGAGGAGATGCATTGTGGGAGTTTCCCAACGTCCGTCCGTGCCGAACAGCCAATCGGATTCACTCGGAAGTGGGTTGTTCCGGGGCTGCACTGCCACGGCGTCTATGGGTTTAGTGGTGGTTGGTGGTGGTGGTGGTGGTGGTTGGTAGTGGTTGGTAGTGGTGGTGGTTGTGGTGATGGTAGTGGTGGTGATGGTAGTGGTGGTAGTGGTGGTGGTGATGGTAGTGGTAGTGGTGGTGGTGATGGTAGTGGTGGTGATGGTGGTGGTGATGGTAGTGGTGATGGTAGTGGTAGTGGTGATGGTAGTGGTGGTGATGGTAGTGGTGATGGTAGTGGTGGTGGTGGTGATGGTAGTGGTGGTGATGGTGGTGGTGATGGTAGTGGTGATGGTAGTGGTAGTGGTGGTAGTGGTGGTGGTTGTGGTGATGGTAGTGGTGGTGGTAGTGGTGATGGTAGTGGTGGTGGTTGTGGTGATGGTAGTGGTGGTGGTAGTGGTGGTGGTTGTGGTAGTGGTGATGGTAGTGGTGATGGTAGTGGTAGTGGTGATGGTAGTGGTGGTGGTGGTTGGTAGTTGGTAGTGGTGGTGGTAGTGGTGGTGATGGTAGTGGTGGTGGTAGTGGTGATGGTAGTGGTAGTGGTGATGGTAGTGGTGGTGGTGGTGGTAGTAGTGGTGGTAGTGGTGGTGGTAGTGACGGTGGTAGTAGTGGTGGTAGTAGTGGTAGTAATAGTGATGGTGACGGTGGTGGTGACAGCAGCGGCAGCACAATCACGAAAATCCATTCTGCGAGGGTGGACGTCGCGAGGGTGAACGTCGCGGCTCCGCGCATCGTTCAGGGCCTGGCGCGACGTCCGACGTTTCGCCCTGCGAGGCTTCTCCAGGAAACCCATTCGGGCTCCTGGTAAGTAAAATAAAGTTATCACAATAATAAAATAATAACAATAAAATAATAACATTAATAAAATAATAACAATAATAAAATAATAGTAATAAAATAATAACAAAACAATAATAATAAACTAATAACAGGAATAAAAACCAGCGCGCACACACAGCTTGAGAAACGTCACAACGTGGTGCAAGATGGCGGTACAACCCAACCACCCGGAGCCCCTCCCCCCTGCCCCCCTCCCCCCCAACCCCCCCCCTCCTTCCTCCCCCCTCCTTCCTCCCCCCTCCTTCCTCCCCCCTCCCCCCCAGTTCCCCCCCAACCCCCCCTCCTTCCTCCCCCCTCCCCCCCAGTCCCCCTCCATCTCTTCACCGGTCCACGTTTCCGAATCTAAAAGTTAAAACAGCGACGACCGCGGCTGCCGAGACGTCGCTGGTGACGACGTCGCTGGCGACGCGGCGCCGTGCGGGACGACGCGGCGCGGCGCGGCGCGAGACGTTTTGTGCAAACAGGAAAGGAAGTGAAATACAAATTAAGTCGCTTCAAAACAACGTGGAGACGACTTGTAAACTTCGTCGGCGCATTTCGGTTGCGCTTCTCCCTGCGTGTGCGTGTACACACGTGCGTGCGTGAGCGTGTGTGAGCGTGTGTACACGTGCGTGTGTGTGTGTACACGCGTGTGTGAGCGTGTGTACACGTGCGTGTGTGTGTGTACACACGTGTGCATGCGTGCGTGTGCGTGTACATGTGTGCGTGCGTGAGCATGTGTGAGCGTGTGTACACGTGTGTGTGTGTGTGTACACACGTGTGCGTGCGTGTGTGTACACGAGTGCATGTGCGTGTACACACGTGCGTGCGTGAGCATGTGTGAGTGTGTGTACACGTGTGTGTACACGTGTGTGTACACGTGTGTGCGTGTGCGTGCCGGCCCGGTGAGAACCCGTCGAGCCGGCGCCCCCTGAGCTCCCCACGGTGTCCACCGCTCCACCGCTCCACCGCTCCCCACGATGTCCACCGCTCCACCACTCCACCGCGTGTCCACCGCTCCACGGTCTCCACCGTCAAGTTCTCTCCGTCTGCACGAGAAGAAGCATCGCACGCTCAGCACCGCCCCCCCCCGAAACCCCTCGGTGGTGGGTGAGCGGTGGTGGGCGAGCGGTGGTGGGCGAGCGGTGGTGGGCGAGCGGTGGTGGGCGAGCGGTGGTGGGCGAGCGGTGGTGGGCGAGCGGTGGTGGGTGAGCGGTGGTGGGTGAGCGGTGGTGGGCGAGCGGTGGTGGGCGAGCGGTGGTGAGCGAGCGGTGGTGAGCGAGCGGTGGTGGGCGAGCGGTGGTGGGTGAGCGGTGGTGGGTGAGCGGTGGTGGGTGAGCGGTGGTGGGTGAGCGGTGGTGAGCGAGCGGTGGTGGGCGAGCGGTGGTGGGTGAGCGGTGGTAGGTGAGCGGTGGTGGGTGAGCGGTGGTGGGTGAGCGGTGGTGGGCGAGCGGTGGTGGGCGAGCGGTGGTGGGTGAGCGGTGGTGGGCGAGCGGTGGTGAGCGAGCGGTGGTGGGCGAGCGGTGGTGGGTGAGCGGTGGTGGGTGAGCGGTGGTGGGTTAGCAATGGTGAGCGAGCGGTGGTGGGCGAGCGGTGGTGGGCGAGCGGTGGTGGGCGAGCGGTGGTGGGCGAGCGGTGGTGGGTGAGCTGTGGTGGGTGAGCGGTGGTGGGCGAGCGGTGGTGGCGAGCGGTGGTGGGCGAGCGGTGGTGGGCGAGCGGTGGTGGGCGAGCTGTGGTGGGTGAGCGGTGGTGGGCGAGCGGTGGTGGGCGAGCGGTGGTGGGTGAGCGGTGGTGGGCGAGCGGTGGTGGGCGAGCGGTGGTGGGCGAGCGGTGGTGGGGTGAGCGGTGGTGGGCGAGCGGTGGTGGGCGAGCGGTGGTGGGCGAGCGGTGGTGGGTGAGCGGTGGTGGGGCGAGCGGTGGTGGGCGAGCGGGTGGGTGAGCGGTGGGGGGTTAGCAATGGTGAGCGTAGGTGGTGGGCGAGCGGTGGTGGGGCGAGCGGTGGTGGGTGAGCGGTGGTGGGTGGGCGGTGGTGGGCGAGCGGTGGTGGGCGAGCGGTGGTGGGCGAGCGGTGGTGGGTGAGCGGTGGTGAGTGAGCGGTGGTGGGTGAGGCTGTGGTGGGTGAGCAATGGTGAGCGAGCGGTGGTGGGCGAGCGGTGGTGGGCGAGCGGGGTGTGGCGAGCGGTGGTGGGCGAGCGGTGGTGGGTGAGCTGTGGTGGGTGAGCGGTGGTGGGCGAGCGGTGGTGGGCGAGCGGTGGTGGGTGAGCGTGGTGGGCGAGCGGTGGTGAGCGAGCGGTGGTGGCGAGCGGTGGTGGGTGAGCGGTGGTGGGTGAGCGGTGGTGGGTTAGCAATGGTGAGCGAGCGGTGGTGGGCGAGCGGTGGTGGGCGAGCGGTGGTGGGTGAGCGGTGGTGGGTGAGCGGTGGTGGCGAGCGGTGGTGGGCGAGCGGTGGTGGGCGAGCGGTGGTGGGTGAGCGGTGGTGGGTGAGCGGTGGTGGGTGAGCGGTGGTGGGTGAGCGGTGGTGGGCGAGCGGTGGTGGGCGAGCGGTGGTGGGCGAGCGGTGGTGGGCGAGCGGTGGTGGGCGAGCGGTGGTGGGTGAGCGGTGGTGGGCGAGCGGTGGTGGGTGAGCGGTGGTGGGTGAGCGGTGGTGGGTGAGCGGTGGTGGTGAGAGTGATGGTGAGCGGTGGTGAGTGGTGAGCGATGGTGGTGAGCGACGGTGAGCGGTGAGCGACGGTGGTGAGCGATGATGGTGAGCGATGATGGTGAGCGATGATGGTGAGCGATGATGGTGAGCGATGATGGTGAGCGATGATGGTGAGCGATGACGGTGAGCGATGGTGAGTGATGGTGAGTGAGCGATGGTGAGCGATGGTGAGTGATGGTGAGTGATGGTGGTGAGTGATGTTGGTGAGCGATGGTGGTGAGTGAGTGAGCTTGCCTGCATGACGTTGTGAAGCCAGGGCAGCAGGGTGGAGACGCGGGAGTAGACGCCAGGACGCCGGGCGTGACCACAGCCGTCCCCCCAGCTCGTCACGCCGGTGAGTAGCCAGCGAGACGCTCCGGGACACACCAGCGGACCACCGCTGTCTCCCTACACACACACAGAGAGAGACACACACAGATTACACACACACAGATTAAACACACACAGATTACACACAGAGAGACACACACAGAGAGAGATTACACACACACATTGACACACAGATCACACACCAGTGGACCACCGCTGTCTCCCTACACACACACAGATCACACACAGAGAGACACACACAGATTACACACACACAGAGAGACACACACAGATTACACACACACACAGAGAGAGACACACAGATTACACACACACACCAGCGGACCACCGCTGTCTCCCTACACACACACACAGATTACACACACAGGGAGACACACACACAGATCACACACACACACACACACAGAGACACACACACAGATCACACACACACAGATTACACACACACACCAGCGGACCACTGCTGTCTCCCTACACACACACACACACAGAGACACACACACAGATTACACACACAGATCACACACACAGATTACACACACAGATTACACACACACACACAGAGACACACACAGATCACACACACAGCCGTCCCCCTCTTTAAGAAGGGGGACCGCACAGACTGTAACAACTACAGGGGCATCTCACTCCTCAGTGTGCCGGGAAAGGTCCTGGCAAGGATTATTCAACATCGCCTTGCCAGGCACGCTGAGGAGAGGCTTGCGGAGCCCCAATGCGGTTTCAGGAAAGGGCGGTCCTGCACAGATGCCATATTTTCTGTCTGTCTGCTACAGCAGAGGTGTAGGGAATTCCAACAAGACCTACATATCTGCTTTATTGACCTGGTCAAGGCCTATGATACCATCAGTAGGCCTGGGCTCTGGGTTGTTCTTCGTGCTTTCGGAGTCCCTGACCCTCTGCTCACGATCATTAAGGACCTTCATGATGGTGAGCGGGCCCGGGTAAGACTACGTGGCCGGGAGTCAGAGCCTTTCCCTGTACACCTTGGGTGCGACAGGGATGTCCTCTGGCTCCCACATTATTTAACATCTATTTTGACCGCGTAGTTCATGAAGCCTTCACTAGCTGTACCGGGGGAATTTCCATTTGGTACAGATATAATGGGAGGCTGATCGATGCCCGGGTGCGATCAAGGGATGGCTCCCTATTGGTCAACCACGTTATGTATGCCGATGATTTGGTAATAGCTGCTCATTCAGAAGAGGAGTTGGAGATGCTGCTGCTGAGACTGGAGCGTGCCACTAAGAGGTGGGGCCTTACCATCAGCCCCACCAAAACTAAGCACCTGCCTGGGTATTTTGTACCATCGGACACTCCACCCCCACAACTCCCAATCGGTGATGGGGCAGTAGTGGAGAGAGTGGAGAGTTTCCCATACCTGGGCAGTGTGCTCATGACCGGCTCCAGTTTAACGGCAGAGGTCTCACTCCGAATCATTCGAGCGTCAATATCTTTTCATCGGTTGCGTAACGCTGTGTGGAAGCTACCTGGTCTGTCGCTCCACACGAAGCTTCAGGTCTTCTCGGCCACAGTCATTCCCTCCCTTCTCTACACTTGCGAAACGTGGACCCCCCTAATGGAGCATCTTCGCCGGTTGTAAACATTTAGGCTGGCCTGCCTACGATCCATCCTGGGTTTAACCAGGCTGGATTGTGTGAGGAGCTCACAAATCCTTGAAAGATCTGGGCAAAGTCCCATCAGCGAGCTCCTCCGGCAGGCAAGGCTGCGTTGGCTGGGTCATGTAGCCCGCATGCCCAGCCACCACATGCCTGAGCAGCTTTTGTTCGGCTGGATCGAGGGGGCTAGACGGGCGCGGCACGGGCTAGAGAAGAGATGGAGTGATGTGGCACAGGAGGACGTGGAGCTGAGTGGACTTGCCGATGACCGGTACCAGCGGTGTCAAGATCGGCCTCAGTGGAGGAGGCTCGTGAAGGACGCTACTGGGCAGTTGGAGGCAGTCGCCCTCCAACAACAACGGAGGGCGGAGGAGCGACGCTCACAACAACGAGCGGAGCGCCGGGTGGCTAAAGCACAGCAAGTTGGCACAGTAGGGGGCACAGGTGGTGCATCAGCCAGTCATCTCGGTCATCTCGGTCAGTCGACCCGTGGCACTTGCAGGGTCTGCCCCGTGACCTCCTGCCAGCGGGCGTTCGACACTTCACGTGGCCTCAAGGTGCACATGGCCTGGCACAAGCGTCGTGGTGACGTCACCGCCACTTAGTGGCGAATGGCGGTTGTTGTTGTGTGTGGGTGAGGGTGTGTGGGTGTGTGTGAGCGTGTGAGTGAGTGTGTGAGTGTGAGTGAGTGAGCGTGTGTGTGTATGTGAGTGTGTGAGTGTGTGTGTGAGCGTGTGTGTGTGAGTGTGTGTGAGTGTGTGTGTGTGAGTGTGTGTGAGTGTGTGTGAGTGTGTGTGTGGGTGTGTGTGTGTGAGTGTGTGTGAGTGAGTGTGTGTGAGTGTGTGTGAGTGTGTGTGTATGTGTGTGTATGTGTGAGCATGTGTGTGTGTGAGTGTGTGTGTGTCAGTGTGTGTGTGAGCGTGAGTGAGCGTGAGTGAGCGTGCGAGGTTCACCTGGCACCCGTCGATGCCCCCTTGCTCGTACCCAGCACACACCATGCGAGGGGTGATGGCGCCGCGGTAGTAGCTGCCCGAGTTGCAGAGCGCCATGGAGAGGAGCGGCACGCGGGCTTCCTGCAGCGCGGGGGACACCGCGTCTGTGTGGGGGGGGGTATCATCATCATCATCGTCGTCAACGTCGTCATCGTTGTCAACATCGTCATCGTCATCATCATCGTCCTCATCGTCATCATCATCGTCGTCGTCATCATCATCATCATCATCAGCGGTCTGCTTGCTGGTGGTGCTAGTAAGGTTGTGGTGGTGGTGGTAACGTTGTGGTTCTTAGTGGTGGTTATCTCTGTGGTTGTTGTTGTGGTGGTAAGGTTGTAGTTAATGTGGTGGTAATCTCTGGTTGTTGTGGTGGCAAGGTTGTGGCTGTAGTGGTGGTTGTGGTGGCAAGGTTGTGGCAAGGTTGTGTTAAGGTTGTGGCTGTAGTGGTGGTTGTGATGGCAAGGTTGTGGCAAGGTTGTGGCTGTGGAAACGAAGGCCGCTCACTCGTGTGTTCGTCGGTTCGGCCCCAGCCCGTGATCCAGCACATCTTCCCCGGGGGCGAGTCGAACTCGGCTCCGGGGAGACACACGGGCGACACGGAGGCTGCACGGACACACACACACACACAAAGACAAAGATCCCCCGTGTAGCCTCAACAGACCGTAGGGGCAAGTGCCGTTATAGCGAGTAGCAGCAACGGCACACGAGGTGGCGATGTTTACTACGCACAGCGCCAGGTACTCATTGTTGAGGCCGAGTCGACCTAGGGGAGGCCCGGGACCGGTTCAGATAATCGTCACCGGCGGCGTTGGCCGTGAGCGGGAATCGAACTCGGGTCGCCGGGTTCACAGCGCAGCGTAGTGCTAACTGCTGCACCACCGCTCCCCACAAACACACGCAGACACTCAGGCGTACACACACGCGCGTACACACACACACACGCGTACACACACACACGTACACACACACACGCGCGTACACACGGGACACAGACACACACACACGCACACACAGGACACAGACACACACACAGGACACAGACACACACACGCACACACAGGACACAGACACAAACACACAGGACACAGACACACGGGACATACACACGCACGGGCAATCCAGACAGACAGACACGGACACACACGTACACACACACACGGGACACACACACACAGGACACACACACACGCACGCGTACACACACACACACGTGTACACACCCGTACACACCCACACACACGCGTACACACACACAGGACACAGACACAAACATACAGGACACACACACACGGGACACACACACACACAGGACACAGGCACACGGACACACGCGTACACACACACACTATCGGGAGGGGGGGGGGAGAGCCCCCACCTCCTCACCCCCCCTTCCCCCCCCCACTCCCCCCCCCCCTCACCAGAGAAGTGTGCTGGGCCCTGCAGACGCAGCAGGGCGACGTCGTAGTCGGAGGACTGGGCGTCGTAGAGCGAGTGGAAGTAGACCTTGTCCACCACCAGGTACGGGGCGATCATGGACGGCTGCTCCACCAGGCCGGCGTACGCCTTCCACAGGCCTGGCAACGGGTTGCTGGCAACGGTCGGCAAACATCGTTGTTGTCAACATCATCATCAACATCGTCGTCATCAACATCGTCGTCATCGTCATCGTCATTATCGTCATCATCAACATCGTCATCAACAACGTCATCGTCAGCAACATCGTCATCATCTTCATCATCATCGTCATCAACATCGTCGTCATCTTCATCATCGTTGTCATCAACAACGTCATCATCGTCATCGTCATTATCGTCATCAACAACGTCATCGTCAGCAAAGTCGTCATCGTCAGCAACATCGTCATCATCTTCATCATCATCGTCATCAACAACGTCATCATCGTCATCGTCATTATCGTCATCAACAACGTCATCGTCAGCAAAGTCGTCATCGTCAGCAACATCGTCATCATCTTCATCATCATCGTCATCATCAGTGTCAGAAAAGTCCTGAGCATCAGCTACATTGTCGTCATCATCATCTTCATCATCGTCGTCATCATCGTCGTCATCATCAGCAACATCTTCATCATCAGTGTCAGAAAACTCCTCAGGATCAGCAATATCGTCGTCATCATCATCGTCGTCATCAGCAGCATCATCGTCATCATCGTCGTCAGAAAAGCCCTCGGCATCAGCAACATCGTCGTCATCAGCGTCCTCATCAGCAACATCGTCGTCATCTGCTACTGCCATTACTGCTACGACTGCCGCCACTGTTGCTGCTGCTGCTGCTGCTACTGCTGCTGCTACTGCTGCTGCTGCTACTGCTGCTCCTGCTGCTGCTGCTGCTGCTACTGCTGCTGCTACTGCTGCTGCTGTTACTGCTGCTGCTGCTGCTGCTACTACTGCTGCTGCTACTGCTGCTACTACTGCTGCTGCTACTGCTGCTGCTGCTACTGCTGCTCCTGCTGCTGCTGCTGCTGCTACTGCTGCTGCTACTGCTGCTGCTGTTACTACTGCTGCTGCTACTGCTGCTACTACTGCTGCTGCTACTGCTGCTGCTGCTACTGCTGCTGCTACTGCTGCTGCTGCTACTGCTGCTGCTACTGCTGCTGCTGCTACTGCTGCTGCTACTGCTGCTGCTGCTACTGCTGCTGCTACTGCTGCTACTACTACTGCTGCTACTGCTGCTGCTACTGCTGCTGCTGTTACTGCTGCTGCTGCTGCTACTGCTGCTACTACTGCTGCTGCTACTGCTGCAGCTGCTGCTACTGCTGCTGCTACTACTGCTGCTGCTACTGCTGCTGCTACTGCTGCTGCTACTGCTGCTACTGCTGCTGCTCCTGCTACTGCTGCTGCTGACGCTACTGCTGCTGCTACTGCTGCTGCTGCTACTGCTGCTGCTACTGCTGCTGCTGCTACTGCTGCTGCTACTGCTGCTGCTGCTACTGCTGCTGCTACTGCTGCTACTACTACTGCTGCTACTGCTGCTGCTACTGCTGCTGCTGTTACTGCTGCTGCTGCTGCTACTGCTGCTACTACTGCTGCTGCTACTGCTGCAGCTGCTGCTACTGCTGCTGCTACTACTGCTGCTGCTACTGCTGCTACTACTGCTGCTGCTACTGCTGCTGCTGCTACTGCTGCTGCTACTGCTGCTGCTACTGCTGCTGCTGCTACTGCTGCTGCTACTGCTGCTACTACTACTGCTGCTACTGCTGCTGCTACTGCTGCTGCTGTTACTGCTGCTGCTGCTGCTACTGCTGCTACTACTGCTGCTGCTACTGCTGCAGCTGCTGCTACTGCTGCTGCTACTACTGCTGCTGCTACTGCTGCTGCTACTGCTGCTACTGCTGCTGCTCCTGCTACTGCTGCTGCTGACGCTACTGCTGCTGCTACTGCTGCTGCTGCTGCTACTGCTGCTGCTGCTGCTGCTACTGCTGCTGCTACTGCTGCTGCTGCTACTGCTGCTGCTACTGCTGCTACTACTACTGCTGCTACTGCTGCTGCTACTGCTGCTGCTGTTACTGCTGCTGCTGCTGCTACTGCTGCTACTACTGCTGCTGCTACTGCTGCAGCTGCTGCTACTGCTGCTGCTACTACTGCTGCTGCTACTGCTGCTGCTACTGCTGCTGCTACTGCTGCTACTGCTGCTGCTACTGCTGCTGCTGACGCTACTGCTGCTGCTACTGCTGCTGCTACTGCTGCTGCTGCTACTGCTGCTGCTACTGCTGCTGCTGCTACTGCTGCTGCTGCTACTGCTGCTGCTGCTACTGCTGCTACTGACGCTACTGCTGCTGACGCTACTGCTGCTACTGCTGCTGCTACTGCTGCTGCTACTGCTGCTGTGGTTGTGCGGTGGTGGTGCGGTGGTGCTGTGCGTACAGTGAGTGCAGTAGTGCGGTGGTTGTGCGGTGGTTGTGCGGTGGTTGTGCGGCGTGTGCGTGCTGTGAATGCGGTGGTGCGGTGGTTGTGCGGTGGTTGTGCGGTGGTTGTGGTTGTTGTGTGGTGGTTGTGCGGTGGTTGTGGTTGTGGTGGTTGTGCGGTGGTTGTGGTGCGGTGGTTGTGGTTGTGCGGTGGTTGTGGTTGTGGTGGTTGTGCTTCTCACTGCACGACGCAGTGAGCGGCGGTCACCACCCAGGAGGGCGCCACGATGGAGCCGCCGCAAACGAGCGACGCGTCGTAGTGCAGCGACACCTGCCACGGCCAGCGGCCCCCCGCCGCCGGGCGGCCCCCCACCACTCGCGAGCTGTCCAGGGGGGCTCCCACACCACACGCTGGAAGGGGGGGGGGGGAGTGGGGGGCACGTCATCGACGTGCACCTTGCGTCAACATCGCCGCGCCAGCGACACCTCTCCTCTGTCAGGGCTTCTGATGGTGATTGGTGATTGCTGCTGATGATGTTGATGATGTTGGGTGGGTGGGTTTGGGTGGGTGGGTGGGTGGCTGAGGGGGTGGGTGGTTAGGTGGGTGGTTGGGTGGGTGGTTGGGTGCGTGGGTGGTAGGGTAGTTGGGTGGGTGGTAGGGTAGTTGGGTGGGTAGTTGGGTGGGTGGGTAGTTGGGTGGGTGGGTAGTTGGGTGGGTGGGTAGTTGGTGGGTGGGTAGTTGGGTGGGTGGGTAGTTGGGTGGGTGGGTAGTTGGGTGGGTAGGTGGCTGGGTGGGTAGTTGGGTGGGTAGTTGGGTGGGTAGTTGGGTGGGTAGGTGGGTGGGTGGGTGGTAGGGTGCGTGACTCGGGAGGTACATGGTTGGGTGGGTGGGTGGGTGGCTGAGGGGGTGGGTGGTTGGGTGGGTGGTTGGGTGGGTAGTTGGGTGTGTGGGTGGTAGGGTGGATGGGTGCGTGACTAGGTAGGTGCATGGCTGGGTGGGTGCGTGGTTGGTTGGGTGGGTGTGTGGGTGGGTGGGTGCGTAGTTGAGTGAGTGGGTGCGTGGGTGTGTGGGTGGGTGTGTGGGTGGGTGTGTGGGTGGGTGGGTGCGTAGTTGAGTGAGTGGGTACGTGGGTGGGTGAGTGGGGGTGGGTGGGTGAGTGGGGGTGGGTGGGTGAGTGGGTGTGGGTGGGTGTGAGTGTGTGGATGTGTGGGTGGGTATGTGGGTGTGTGGGTGGGTGTGTGGGTGGGTGGGTGTGTGGGTGGCTGGATGGGTGGGTGGTTGGGTGGGTGCGTAGTTGAGTGAGTGGGTGTGGGTGGGTGGCTGGTTGTGTGAGTGGGTGTGTGGGTGGGTGGTTGTGTGTGTGCGATGGGCTTCTCACCCAAGCACTGCAGAGTGATGACCTTGCCAGTGCCACAGGTCTCCCTGTGGGAAGAACAAAACACTCGCTCACCCACTCACCCACTCGCTCACCCACACAGCCACTCGCTCACCCGCTCGCTCACCCAGACAGCCACTCACTTACCCACTCACCCACTCGCTTACCCACTCACCCACTTGCTCGCTCACCCACTCGCTCACCCACTCACCCACTTGCTCAGCCACACAGCTACACAACCACTCGCTCACCCGCTCACCTACTCGCTCACCCACTCACCCACCCACCCACACAGCCACTCGCTCACTCGCTCACCTACTCGCTCACCCACTCACTCACCCATCCACCCACACAGCCACTCGCTCACCCACACAGCCACTCACTCACCCACTCACCAACTCGCTCACCCACTCGCTCACCCGCTCACCCACTCGCTCACCCACTCACCCACTCGCTCACCCACTCGCTCACCCACACAGCCACACAGCCACTCGCTCACCCACTCGCTCACCCACACAGCCACACAGCCACTCACCCACTCACTCACTAACCCGCTCACCGACACAGCCACTCGCTCACCCGCTCACCTACTCGCCCACCCACCCACACAGCCACTCGCTCACCCACACACCCACTCACCACCCACTCACCCACTCACCCACCCACTCACCCACTCACCCACCCACTCACCCACTCACCCACCCACTCACCCACCCACTCACCCACTCACCCACCCACTCACCCACTCACCCACCCACTCACCCACCCACCCACCCACCACGTCTGGAAGAGCTTTGCGACGGTGGCGGTGGTGGAGTCCGGGTTGACCGCGGGGTCGGCCCTGAGGAACGTGGAGGACGAGTTCAGGCCCAGAGTGGCCACGTCCACCGCCTCGGCACCCTCAACACTGGGGGGGGGGGGGGAGGGGGGGGGGGGGAGCAGCATGGCACCGTGAGTGGGGAGGGGACACCGTGCGGGACACCGCGGTGAGGTTTGCGGCGTGCACATTCCACCCACTCACCCCCCCCACCCCCCTCGCCCCCCTCCACTCACCCACCCACCCACTCACCCACCCACCCACTCACTCACCCACTCACCCACCCACCCACTCACTCACCCACTCACCCACCCACTCACTCATCCACTCACCCACCCACCCACTCACTCACTCACCCACCCACTCACTCACCCCCCCACTCACTCACCCCCCACTCACTCACCCACCCACTCACCCACTCACCCACCCACTTACTCACCCACCCACCCACTCACTCACCCACTCACCCTCACACCCACTCACCCACTCACTCACCCACTCACCCCACCCACTCACTCACCCACCCACTCACTCACCCCCCCACTCACCCACCAACTCACCCCCTCCACTCACCCACTCACCCACCCACTCACCCACTCACCCACCCACCCACTCACTCACTCACCCACCCACTCACTCACCCCCCCCTCTCCACTCACACCACCCCCACTCACCCCCCCACTCACACCCCCCACTCACCCACCCACTCCCCCCCCCCCACTCACCCCACCCCCCCACCTGTTGTAGCCCATGTTGCTGCAGCTGTAGCGGGAGAGGGCGCCGCTCCAGCCGTCTGAGCAGACGAAGCCCCACGGCCCGTGGGGCCCCGGCACGAACACCTGGAGCACGTGGGTGGAGTCCCACACTCGCACTGGAGGTGGGGGGGGAGGTGGGGGGGGGGTGGGGGGGAGGTGGGGGGGGGTGGGGGGGAGGTGGGGGACGATTGTAATGCACGGACAACACAGCGGCGTAGTTGCACGTTCACTCGCCCACACACTCGCTCACTCGCTCACTCACCCACACACCCACACACTCACATACCCACCCACACACTCGCCCACACACATACACATACCCACCCACACACTCGCTCACTCACCCACACACCCACACACTCACATACACAATCGCGCACTCACTCACTCACATACCCACCCACACATTCACTCACTCGCCCACACACCCACACACTCACTCACATACACAATCGCTCACTCACTCACATACCCACCCGCTCACTCACTCACATACTCACCCATACACTCACTCACATACCCACCCACACACTCGCTCACTCGCCCACACACCCACACACTCACATACACAATCGCTCACTCACTCACATACCCACCCGCTCACTCACTCACATACTCACCCATACACTCACTCACATACCCACCCACACACTCGCTCACTCGCCCACACACCCACACACTCACATACACAATCGCTCACTCACTCACATACCCACCCGCTCACTCACTCACATACTCACCCATACACTCACTCACATACACTCACTCACATACCCACCCACACACTCGCTCACTCGCCCACACACCCACACACTCACTCACATACACAATCGCTCACTCACTCACATACCCACCCGCTCACTCACTCACATACTCACCCATACACTCACTCACATACACACCCACACACTCACCCACACACTCACTCACTCACACACACAATCGCTCACTCACTCACATACCCACCCGCTCACTCACTCACATACTCACATACCCACCCGCTCACTCATTCACTTACATACCCACCCACTCACTCACATTCCCACCCGCTCACTCACATTCCCACCCGCTCACTCACTCACATACCCACATACCCACCCGCTCGCTCGCCCACTCACTCACATACCCACCCACTCGCTTGCCCACCCACTCACTGACACGCTCGCTCATTCATTGACCAACTCATTCGCTCACTCAATTACCCACTCGCCCAAACACTCATCCACACGCTCATTCATTCATTCACTCGCTCACTCCCTCGCTCACTCACTCACCAGCTCGATCGCTCGCTCGCTCACCCAGCCACCCATGAACTTCATCATTCAACCACTCGCTCACCCACCCACACATCCACTCGCTCGCCTACTCGCTCACCCACTCGCTCGCTCACCCACCCACACATCCGCTCGCTCGCCCGCCCGCTCACTCACTGCAAGATGAAGCGACTGTGTTCCGCGTGCCATCGCAGCTCACAGCCATGATGCTTCTGTTGATGGCTGGCTCTCCTGTAACAACATCATCACCATCACCATCATCATCTAAAGCATTCTCATCATCATCGTGACCGTGATCATTGTCGCCATGACCATCACCATTATCACCGTCACTACCATCAACATCTTCACGACAACAACTAGAAAAATCTCCATTCCATCACCATCACAAATGCAATCATCACTAGCCGGAACACCACCATCATCATCATCACCATCATCACCATCATCACCATCATCACCACCATCATCACCATCACCACCACCATCATCACCATCATCACCATCATCACCACCACCATCAACGTCATCACCACCACCACCATCATCTCTGGCACAGCAAACATCAGCATCGTCAATATCATGATCAAGGCCATCATCGTGACCTGCCGGGCCATTGTGAGCCTGCGAAGAGAGACGCCCAGACCCAGGGCTTGAACCCAAATGTAGCAGCAGCCCTCTGACTCGGTGCCTCTGACACGGCCATTGTGAACCTCCCGAGAGAGAGAGAGATGGGGAAGAGACGGAGGGACACCGAGACCCAAGTGAGAACCAGGTGAGAACCAGGTGTGGCCCAGGTGAGGCCCAATGAGACCCAGGTGAGACCCAGGTGAGACCCAATGAGACCCAGGCGAGGAGTGGGAGATTTCACCCTCAGCCTCTGGTAGCCTCACAAAGTTGGGGAGGGGAGGGAGCGAGGGAGGGAGCGAGGGAGGGAGAACACCCACACATCCACACACCCACACACGCACACCTGCACCCGCACACCCGCACGCGCACACGCGCACACACCCACACAACCCACACATGCACACCCGCACACCCACACACACACCCACCCACTCGCACACACACCCACACACACCTGCACACGCCCACACAACCCAAACACGCACACACACACGCACGCACACCCACACACACGCACACCCACACACCCGCACACACACCCACACACACGCACACACACCCACCCACCCGCACACACACCCACCCACCCGCACACACACCCACACACACCTGCACACGCCCACACAACCCAAACACGCACACACACACGCACGCACGCACGCACACCCACACACACACACGCACACCAGCTTGGGTCACTCACCGCAGTTGCCGAAGGCGCACGCCGCCGTCTGCTTGTAGTAGAGGTAGTAGACTGGGCGGGATGGCACACACACAAAGACAAAGATCCCCTGTGTAGCCTTAACAGACCGTAGGGGCAAGTGCTGTTAGC